AATGAAGCCGAATTGTATATTTTATGCGTATTCCATCTTTTGCTTAGAAAAATAAAATACGTATATTTATTTAAAAAAAATAAAAACAAACAATTATACTTAAAACCATTAAGTTAAAATATGTATGTCAAGACTACAGCATATTTATATCAGTTGTTCAAATTACCACACTTGAAGCTATGTAAGACGTTTAGATGTGCATGGAAACAAGCATTGAAGATAAAATAAATGAGACAAATGATAAAAACAAATGCAAAAGAACAGAAGTATAAAACCATGTTTGTAAGATTTTTCTTTGATTTAGTAGACAGTAACTTGTTTGGTAACAACTAATGACAACGTCAAGGTTGCTAAGTATGAAACAAATTATTTGGGAACAGATTATAAAATATAAATATGTATGTCTAATGATAAAAGACAATAAACAGCATAAAATGAGACGATGTCAAATGATTCGAATAAAAAATAGAGAGATAATGATTTTTGAGCAAGTGTAATATTCACATTGGAACTATTTGTTGAATTAAAAGCCTTCAATTCAATCACACTAACAGAAGCGAAATCAAACAATAAATCAAACATACAAGAGACAATAATTTAACGTGGTTCGGTCCAACTGACCTACATCTACGGATGAGAAACAAGATTTACTAGTTATAGAGAATTATAAACTTACATCAAATCATCAACCTCATTTAACAATCAATACTCATAAAACACTTTCAATCTCCTCTAGTCTTATGGAGTATTCTTAACCCTCTTACATCTTTAGAATTCTTCTCCTGTAAGTGAAACTTGCCTATTAAGAATCTCTTTCCCCTTAGAATTCTTCTCTTGCAAGTCAAACTTATCTATTAAGAATATTTTCTTTTAGAATTTTTCTTTGCAAGTCTTATTGTCCATCAAACAATATCTAACAAATCTCAAACAAATCTCTTATAGTATTTGAGTCAATATTTCCAACACTATTTAGTAATGCTTTTTTGAACTTTTTTTATTTTAAAAACTTATTTAAATGTAAATTAAAAATTTATTTAAATACAATAAAATATAAGAATTTATCTAAATAAAATGATAAAAATTAAAAGTTTTTTTTTATTATTTTAACTTTTTATTTTTACAAATATATGGCAGTCTAGAAATAAAAATAAAGATTAAAATTACTGAAATTTGAAACTCCAACCTAGAATACTATCTTTTAAAGATAAATGCATCACTTTTTCCTAGCTTTAACTTTTTGCGGCAGTAAATTTCTAAAACTCAATTGCCAGAATCCTCAAGTAAAAGCCTCATCGCGAAGCCTGCAAGAACAGACAACTAATGGAGTCTGCACCTTGTAATTTTAACGTGGAGAATGACTATAACCACAACACGTTTCTGCAATTAAATATTGTCAAATAATGGAAACCTTTCTCAGGAAAATGGGGGGGGGGGGGGAATGAAAAAACAACGAACTTTTTTCTCTACTTTTGCCTTGGTTGCCGAGTAAGAGAATTGGAAATGCAAGACTTTTTGACAGAGAGGAGTTGAAACAGGAAAGTTTCACCTGAATCTAAGAACGTTGAAAGAAACAGCATCAGGATCACATGGTGATACGTCCACTATGTAGACAGCAATGTGCCAAGAGGAAAATGATACATGGATAGAACACTTTCAACCAAAGTAGAAGTGGCAAACCGACATGACACAGAACTAAAATGAAGTTATGGAACCACTTTAATCCCAACAGATGTTGGGATTTGCTTTGAATCTCAGAATCCAATATTGAAAGTTAAGTGAGTTTGAGTTTGTCTTGTATCTCACATCGGGAGTTTAGTAAAAGTATAAAGGATTCCACCTTTATAAATAAGATGTTTTGATTTTAGTTTAGTAACCCCAGAGAGTTAGACACCAAGAGAATAGCTAAGTGAGTAGGCTATTAAAGGGTGTAATTGAGTTTTGGGTTAAGTTTTGAGTAAGGAATTTTAGGAGACTTTTCTCATTCTAAAAGTCTCACAATTGTAAAGATTTATTTGATAGTGGATTGTGTTTGGAGTAGATCATTTTGAGTTGAGCCAAACCAAATATATTTGTGTGTTCTTATTCTTGATTTGAGCTTGTTATTTTGTGTGTGATTGCTGCGCGAGGGTATTGTGATATTTTCCAACAACAGAAACATAGGACAATGGCAATAGAAATATAAAGAATAAGGAGAGATAAATCCGGGAAGCTCGGATTTCATCGCACAAGCACAAATTTACAGCTTTACCAGGAAAAGAACAAACACAGTATCGGTTTGCACAGTTTCTCTTGGTAACACCGAGATAATGTACATTGCAAAACAAACATTTTTGAGATTTTTGAGAGTTATAAACACAAAGAAGAACAGTGCACCTTTGTTTGTCTTTGCTAAGCCAACACAGAAAGCATTTGATCAGAAACAGAAGCCGGACCCTGCATCAACCTAACAACTTCTACTGTGCCATCCAGATGGTACTCCTGCTCTGGGATCAATCGACGGTCCTGCTATTGAACTGGTGATTACCTCAAGCATGTCTTCATCGGATTGATCATCTCCTATGCACAGAACAAAATCTGGCAACATACCCCTCTCTTGCATGGTGGAAAGTAAACGCTTAGCTGCCAGACCCTTGCTTACACCCTGCTAAATCAATGAAGAAATACATCTTTTTGAAGCATGATAATTTGAGGGCTCTACAAACACAAGGTAGATTCACAAAAAGCTAACAGGTATATAGCTCTCAATAAGAGTATTCTAAAACTTCATCAAGGAACATATGATCCAAACCTGTGGCTTAACATCCACAACGTCCTGCCCACGCTTAACTGTAACAGGTTCATTGGCCTGCACACTCTCAAGATGATCAAGAAGTTCTTTAGCTTGGCATGATCCAAAATCTGGATCTGCATCCTCATAACACCAGACAAGGGCAGTTTCCTTATCTTCAATGTTGGACCCATCAGCAGTCTCCATGTATTGCTTCATCACAGGTTCTACAATCTGCTTCCAAGTGCAGTCTACAGCAGGTACACATGTTTCCCATTCCACATCTCGCTTAAGCGTGAAACAATAAAATATAAAATTCAAGTCAAAACAACAATATTATGATAAGGATCAAAGTAGAAACCAGGATCAAAGCTGGTTTCATTTCACCTCAAGAAGTAGCCATGCTCGGCAATAATTCCTAGTTTCTCACATGGCACTGACAATAAAAACAATGTTGTTAGTATCTCTGCATAAGCTATTTAGCATGCCAATTGATTTAGATGATGGGCTCTTGTCAATGGAAGTCTGTGGCATTAAAGTGCCATAATAGTCTAGAAGAATAGCCTTAGTAGTAGACCTCTTGTAAGCTGATGGTATGTGCTCCATCGAGAACTTTCTGAAGTTTGGATCAAGAGCCACAATTCTAAAACTTAGCCCCAAACGAGTACCCCAGCATCTCGTCTGACATGTTCTCGACATGTCCTCTCCAAATCTTGAAGGAAACTATGAGCCCAGTATCCAACATGATGGGCACTCACATATCTGTAATGCTTTTCATGCCTGCTGTTTTTCTGCCTCTGCCATAGCAAGGGCGGAGTCCATTGCGTCTGTCACTGCATCAATGTCCCATGGAGTAACTCGAATTGCTCCACTCAGAGATGGGGAGCAGCCAATGAATTCTGAAACAACTAACATGCTTTTCTTTGATATGGCTGGCTCCAACCCCAAAACCTTATCCAACGTCTCATTCCCCTGTCGACTGATAATATATTCATATGGTATGAGATTCATTCCATCCCTTACAGCTGTTAGCAACACTCTACAACAACATAATATGCAATCCTCTCGTAAAACTTGTGGTTCATCGATCAATACAACAGGATCATACCCAGGCTTCCCAAAAGTTTCATTAAGCCGCTTCACAGTTAAATATGTCTCCTCCTGCACTTCTTTCACATCTTTCCTTGGCCACTAGCTGGATTTGCTATCTGAACCAACACTACCTTCCCTTGGCACTCAGGATGCCTCAAAAGTAATTGTTCCATTGCTAGCAGCTTCAAACAAATGCCCTCAAATATGTCCATATCATCTACCCCAAGCAACATTGTCCGGCCTTGATCAGAATACTTCTTAAGGAGCTCTGCACCCTTGACTTCAGTCTCCAGAAGGCTCAAAATGACTGAAGCTGGCCCATGTGTGTCCCCACGGAGAATTTTGATACCAACAGTTCTTCAATAACACTCAAGCCCTATATACCCTCTCTTGGATTCATAAGTAAGACCAAGCGTTCGACTACAGCATGACAAAAAATGCCTCGCATAATCAAACGTATGAAACCCAATTAAATCTGAATTTAACAAAGCAAGTAAAAGTTCCTCCCTAATAGGCAATGTCTTATATATCTCAGTTTTAACTCTTGTTTAACTCTATTGAACCTCTTTCTCCAGAAAGTTGGTAGCACCATCAGATGATAATCATGTACCCACACAAAATCATCTTCTGGATTAATCACCTACATAATCCGATCAGCAAAAATCTTATTGACCGATACATAGGCTTGCCACAAAGACCGGTTAAACCTACCACCAAGATCTGGAGACAAAGGCAACATATAAAGAAACAAAAGCCATAATTGTTGCTTACAAAACCCATGATAACACCGGCTAAAAAGATCAGGAAGCAAAAAAGTAGGCACATACTTAAAGGTCTCTAAAAGAATCTGTGAGACCTCATCTTTTTCATTTGGTTGGATTTCTTCCTTTAAACAACCGGCTGAAAATCCAACCCTTGCTAATACTACTACTACTACTAACATTATTACTATTATCCGATTTTCGGTGTGCCCTTATAGGCAGGTGATTAGCTACAAAGATACTTCGATATTTCTGGACGGATAATGATGACGGATCAGAGCATACACTCTCTGACGTATCATCATCAATATCGGAAATGATTCCAGGGACCGTCATATTGCGGGGAATCCTACGGCTCATTCGGCCAAAAGATAGAGACTTGCCAGAGGCAAGCTTCAGGAGATTCGAATATAATCTCGATACGATCTCTCAAAGCTAATCGAAACCGTGCTTCACTATGCCCACATACAAAAACACTCAGGAATGTTGTCTGAGAATAGTTGTTAAAGTGTTAATGGGTCGCGGGAAATCCCACGTGGCCTAAAACTATTGGCTTGAGTAGGTCTTATTGGCTACGTGGCATTGTTTCCATGCTTCATTGACAACACAAGAACTAGGTCTGTCGATATACGTGTTCTTTTTTTGATTCTGGCTTCATTCACGATCTCACTAAAGTCATACTAAAATCAAACTCCAAAGTGGCAAAGTTGCACAAGCGGAGAGCTTCCGCAAATCAACCAATCAGCTCTCAACACGTGTGGATTGATTTGCTTAAACCAATATAGTTTGGTCATATCATTAATGAATGTTTGAATTGAAATGAAAATAATTATTTTTAATTATACAACTTAAATATCACAAACGTTAAAAGGTTAAATTAGAACCCATTTTTCCAATAACTTTGTTCAGAAAAAGAAAATGTATGGTCATAAAAAGTTTTGAATTAAAGAATTTCATGTGGGTTCAAGTCTGACTCAACTATTTTGTTAAGAACCAAAAATTAGGTGAAAACTTTCAAAGAAAACTCCTTGATTCTAACCTATGAATTGATAGATTTCATTTAAATGTAGCTGTTTATGATAAATTGTACTACGAATGAACAAAATCATTTGTCTTTTCACCTGTCTAAGAATCAGAACTATACAATGTTGATCTACAAAATTGGAGATGCTGAATTTGGTCATGCTTGAGCAATCCCCTTTTTCACCAACATGTCATAGACTCTATCCACCTTGCTTGGTTCAACTTTGAACAGGTTGTAAGCATCAGATTTCTTGCTAATGTTGCCCTTCATAATCTCCATTGATAAGGTTTGCAACATGGAGAGATAATGTGTGGGCAGTATTCTAATCTCGTTGCAAAGCTGTTTCTCCTGCACAAAAGGACATTGTATGAGACTGAAAATCTGAAATGAAATTCGAATGGTTGAAGACACATGTATCCTTAATGTTTTGACAGTAATTCCTTAAACCTTGAATCAAGTATCCTGGAGAATTCAAATTGAATTGTAAAAGATAACCGTAGAGTGATTGGACGATCATGTAAAAGCGATGTAGAACAAGAAGCTAGGGAGGGTATCCTTACAGTATCAGACAATAAATCAGCCCCTATAAATCCAGTGATATCCCAATCATCCAGGGTGCTTAATGTATCTTGTCCTATGACGGTTGAAGATTCTTTACTGAAAGGTTGTAAACCAGTGGAACCCCTCACGATACCCCTTGGGCTGCCATGCAATAACACTTTACCACTAGGACCAGCCTGTACACTTTCCCTCAGTCTCTGGGCATTTTCTTCAGCTTCCTTTTTCCTCTTTTGTTCGATATATTTATTGGCTTCAGCAGCAGTTCGGCAACCAGCAGCTCGAGCTTCCTGCACAGTTTAATTTACCTGAATACATAGTATTTATGACGTATATCTAGTGTCAACGTGAATGTAATGTGCAAAATATGCCTAAAGTCAGTTGTGATAAATGTTTCAAAATTTATATGCTTCAATAGATGTATCTGGAGCGAAAAGTTTCAGCCCTAAGGGATAGAAATCATCGTAGAATTGAATCATTTGAAAATGAAGAAATATAAAAATATGATTAAGGGATAAAAGGCAGCACCAAGTCAAAGGCAAACAGACTCTTAGTTTCTCAAATTTGACTCCATCCCTCCCAGAATAGAAAAATTGTAATCAAACTTCAATGGGAACCTAATTTTCATTTTGTAGGAGTCTACACTAGTAATTAAAAGAAATTTTTTTCATGAAAGCAGAAAATAAAGCATACAAAGTCAGCATAAAGAAAGCTTTTAACCTGAAGTTCTTGTATTCTTTTGACAGTCCGATGTTCCTCGATGACACTCTTAAGCAACTCTTCATGCTCTTCTTTTGAATGGAAGCGCATGAACACCTTGCAACGCTGATATATTTCCCTCTCCTCAGGTGAGAGGTTTCTCTTAAAAGGGTCAGGGTAAAGTAAATTTCTTTCCAGTATAAAGTCCTTCCTACGCTTCCTCTCATCAAGCCTGTCAATAAGTCAGCATATCGTAATTCTAAACACCAAAAATGATGCAAAAATAATGGCACAGTATTCAACATATTCAATATGTCGCATTAATTGAGTACCAGTCCATGGTATGCTACAAGCAAATGAGTGTTTCATCCTTCCAACCAGTTATAACTAGTTAAGATAAACTGCTAGTAGAACCCAACCGACAACTAAATATAAGAGCAGACACGTAAGACATACAACTTAAATGATATGCATAGAATTGTACATATGAAAGAATGCAAGTACAAATCAATCAGCCTTGAATGTACTAAAAATGCTGTGAACAGTATATTCTCAAGATGTAATGTAGAGAGACAGAATGTAAAATCAAGTCCAAATTCTCATGACATTGTAGGAAAGTTCTATCAAGATAATTGATGGTGCATGAAGTTGAAAACTCACATGCAGCGACTTGAGTTTTACTCTTAACATCTGAGAGGAGCTTCAGATAGTTTTCAAACCTGAGATTTAGGTGCTTAGAGAAATTGCTTCATTCCACACATTGAGAGTGCATATATGTTAGGAGGATCAGCACATAAGAGTATTTATGATAGATCAAGAACAATGTCATATTTTTCTTAAAGCACTAAATTATTATCAATATCACATTGTCTATGCCTACAAGCCACTTTCTATATTTCCCTCTTAGATCCCTTCATTGAAAAATGCTGACGGTCAACAACCTTTTCCATGTCAACATTATACAACATGCATACTCACTATGGATAGATAAATACCTTTTTGAGTAGATATGTAGTACACGCAACTTCAATTCATGCTCAGCCTTGGTGTCAGTATCCTTAAATTCCATATCTGCCAATAACAGCTCTGCATCGTTATCATATTCAATCTCAAATTCCTGCCTCTTGAAATTATAGCCACTCAACTCGGTCATAGAAGGTTCCTCATCAGTGGAAACCCTAGGTTTTTTCTCGCCAATGCTCCTGTCTGCTTGAGGTTCTGAGAACAAGGTTGAAGAAAAAAAAAAGTATGGAGCAATCACATAACAAATCCATGGAACATAACAAACAACATAAATTATATTAACCACCAAAATGAAAAAAAGAAGAGGAAATGGAAAAGATCAAAAGAAGGAGCCTCTCAATTCAACAAATTCTAACTGATTTTAACTCATTTTACAGATAGAAAAAAAATTAATTAGCATTTGCCTCATAAAGTATGATATGGAAGCATTACAGTCCAAACCCATTCTTTCAGAATGAGTCACCTTTCGCAATAGTTACAGACTGACTACTGTCACTTGTAAGATTGGCATTTCCATGGTGGCACTAGTCAATGGAATGTAAAGTCACAAGCAATGGTCATGATGTACAATAAAATGAGGGAGCATACCTTCTACTTTAATGCCATCTTTATTCTGGACCATGTTGGAGGTCTTTTTACCAGCACCTAGGAATGTGTTACCACTGCTTGAATCAATATGGGACCCTATCTCTGATGTCAAAGAAAATGCATTATATATATTTTTTCTTTTTTTGCAGAAAAAGAATGTGTTATGTTTGCAAAGAAAATATTGCCACATAATCATGCCTTTAAAAGAAAAATCAAAGAGGCAGCCCACTTTCAATAAAACTGTCTCAAAATTGCTGATGTCATACCTGCAGTTAAGCTAGATGATGATTGATAAGCTGGATCTTCCTTTCTTGGTGCCTCATATCTGATCAAGTACAGAAGGAGGATAACAAAAAAAATAAAAAAATAAAGTAAAACTGAAAAATAAAAATAAAAATAAAAAAGATACCAAAGGGATGATAATTACTTGACCGTTGCACCTGTAGGGGACTCATCCTTCAGGGTGAGCTCACCATGTGCAGTGAATTCTGCAGAAATAACAATTTAGTCTAGCAACTTCATTTCACAAAAGCACATGTAAAAACTAGGACTCAGAAACCAAAGATATCAGAAAAAAGACAAGAATATTGAGAATTAGAAGATCACCCATTTTCCCCAGAAAAAAGAAAGTGATATGATAAAAAAAAAAAAAAAGTTGCTGTGGGAAGGAAAACAGCCAAAAAATCATCTTGATAGCAACAATTTAGCAACTGGACAATTACTTGAAACAGTTTTGTCTAACCTTTCTTGACTTGACTATTCCCTTTGGCCATAGCAAGGAGCTCCTCTCTGCTCTTTCCCATAACATGAGACAAGTCCTAAGAAAATAGCCATGGAATATAATTGTTATTACGAGAAAATTATATGTTTATTTACATGTTTCAGTGCATTTGCATATGCTTATATGAGTAATGTCTTCAAAGCCAAAGATTATAACACAAGTCTTACTGGGAGAGGAAAACAAGGAGAGTTCATGTATATAGCATTATAGTGATCAATACATTGTGATTTGCTCTTGGTTCCGACATGTTCTGCAACTTCAGTCCAATTCCCAAATCCATACATTTCAATTCCCTGAAAATAAGACATCCATCCTCTAACCATCAAATCTAATGGAATACGGAATCAAGAGGAGTATAAGCAACAGTTGTTGGATGTGCTGATTAATTAATTAATCAAAATATGCCCCTAAAAGATGCAAGATAGTATATAGGAAAACCTCAAGAAGCAATATCTCCTCATCTGCATTCCACTCTGGACAAATAAGTGGGAAAGATAAATTGTCCTGCATGGAAGAAGATGATTAATATATACTCATAACATGCATACTCCAACCGATAGCAAAAGGGACAAAACTATGTTTAAAGTCATTTATCATGAGAGTTACTGAAGGAAATAAAGTAGATAATGAAAAGAGTGACCACTTTTGCGGAACAAGTTAGTAGACAAATTTCAGAGGGTAATCACCCAGTTATGTCCCACCAAAGTGAGGTTCCAGGAGAGGTGACTAAGATTTTCCAGCATTGAACAGGATGGTGGGGGGTGCAGTTGCAACAAAACATGTGAGTTCTATGGTTTAAACTTCAGCTAAAAATGCCAGCAGTAGTTAACAGAAAACTAATCTGTTCTTAACTTACTTAAAACCTATGTAACCATGTTCTTTGACATATTTCAAAAGCTCTAGTATACTCTACTTGTTTACCTATGGAGGACTATTTTACTTAATAAGTCAAACCTGAACTTCATTTATATTTCAGTTCATATGTATAGTATCTCTTCCACCTTGCACTTTGTCTATGAGAACCAGATGACCATACTTTCTTTTCTATTATGACTTAATATTTACTAAAGTAGGGTGCTTATCTTTTCCTGAGAATTGAACGAGAAAGCCTGGATACAGACTTTCACTTTGATGGTAATCTTTACCAATCAAGCAGATGCCATCAAGCACATGATTATAAATCTTATGCTGATTTAGCTTACTAAAGTGTACTCTTTGGCAACCAAGCAAATGCAAAAATGTGCAATGGAGGTTATGATAACTTGGTTATATAGCATCAGTGAGTTGCTAAGCAAGTTATAGTTGATTTACGTATTATGCAGATTCAATGCTTTTAATTTTGTGTTAAAGTTATCGGGAACAAAAATGTATGGTTACTTATAACATCTATTTATCAATATGTCCACCATGTCATTTTCTGTTTCTCCCAAAAAATCAGTCTCCATTTATTCAAATTATATTATTTCTATGTACGATTGGTACTATAAAGCTAACACCTTGCTCAAATCAAACATGAATGCCTCGAAATATTTAGAATGAAAAGATTCCTTTGTTCTGTTCCTGATATACCCCCCAAGCAAGATGAAAAGAAACGAAAAATTTCAGACAAGAGACGCGGAAAAAATCTTCATGGGAGCTAACTGTCTGCAACATGCAATGACCTTGAATTGCTAAAAAAGAAGGTGACTAACCATAACCCTGTATGGATGATTGCTCTTGTGAGGAGAAACTTCAGCTCCAACAGAGAAGCACTCGACACAAAGGTCAAAATCTGGACAAACTGCACATTTAATCCGAACCATTCCAGAAAGATCCTTGTTGCAATAATTACAGTGATATAAAGCTGGCCCCTTTGCTTCACTTGGTACTTGCCCGACAACTTATTGAAAGAAATGGAATCAACGGAGAAGAACAAAATTAGCAGAAAAAGGTGTTCACATCCATAAAGGTCATCACTTTCAACAAAAGCAAGAAGCAAGATTTCAAAACTTAAAAGGAGTAAAGCATCGATAAACCATACTTGTAGATGGAAGCTCTACATTCTCGACGACACCAGGCCCAGTCCTTTTCCTTTTGGACCTACAAAAAGAAGGCAAATTTGCAACTAAAAACAAGATTTTGAAGGGATTTATCAGACGAGAAACGAAATTTAAAATTAAAAAAAAAAAAAAGACCTTTGATTGAGATCCTCTTCAGTGGAACGAGAGACTGTCCTTGACCGACCCATGCCTTCAATTCACCTGATTACACCAAAAAGTAGCCACCCAAAAAAACCCTAAATTATAAGGTAACTGAGCATAACGGTCACTGCTTGCTAAGGAAGAGCAAAACGAATAAGTACGGAGCGAGAAGATGGAGACACTCGGACTTTTTGACCCGAACCCAGAACTTGTACTGGTATCGGGTTTGATTGTCCTAAACTTTTATTTTGTTTCGATTGAATCTCCCATTTCGAGTTATATTATTTTAAGGTGGGTTTTTTTTTTTTTTATATTCGCATATTTTATTAAATTAAAATATTGGAAAACTTTATTTTCCCACGTAAAAAGGTCAATACGTATCCCTCAGTAATTTTTTTTTTGCCAGTTAGTAACTTTATATTTTAGTAATATGGTCTAGATTAGTATTGTTGTTAAAAGTCGCAAAAATTATTTTTGACCCATCCTTAATACTAAGCAATAAAGAAATATAGCTTTTCAATTTAAAAATATAGTTTTATTTTCCAAAAAAAAAAAAACTATTTAAGAAGTGTTTTTTCGGTGAAAAAGTATTTTTGAGAAAAAAAATCATTATATTACTTTATATTTATAATTTTTTTATTTTATAAATATAATTTTTTAAATATTTTAATTACTAACGATACTTTTTTACAACAATGCTAAGGCTTCATTTGGATTCTACCGAAGCCGTGGTGAGGTGCGATTGAAGTACTTTATGAGTTTAATCGCATCATTTTTTGCATTTGGATAACACGGGTTAGTGCGGTTAATGTTTATCAACTGCATTGTATCTTCAGTTTGTGACTGAACTCTTTAAGGTACAGTAAAAATTTACAAACTCACCGCAGCATTTACTTCCAAAAGTATCTTTATTTAAATTTTTTTGTTTCTTTTTTATCTTTAAAAATATAGTGCAAGAACAAAAATATCCTTGACATTTAAGGCCTTATTTATTAAAAATAAATAGGTAAAAATAGTTTTTAATACTTACAATTTTAATTATTTTTTAATATAATTTAATATATATTAATATTTTGATTAAATAAATTTTTAATAAATTAAATGTTAAATAATATTAAAATATAAATAAAAACAATTTAATAATTTTTTTAATTAATGTTGTAATATTAATTTTCTCTTTTTAGTATAATTCATTTTACTATCACCGCTATTTTTACATTTAAATATATTTCACCATTAATTTTAATCTCATCATTATAATAACTAATTTCACATCTATCATTGTTTTCAATATCATCATAGTTAATCTTACCGTTCGTTCAAATAGACCTTAAATCATTTAAAACTTTTAACTATATTTTTTTTATTCCAAAACTTTTAACCGTAACAATAATACTAAACTAATATTTAATATTTCAACAATCTTATAGTACTAAATATTTATATAAATTATGGACAAATGCATCTAATGTTACTAAAAATTTACATAAAAGTTACATTTTAATATCACTAAAAATTAGATAAAGGTCAAGTATAGGAATTGCAACGGACTGAGTTAAATTGGGTTGGTTTTTGCTTGACCTGTTCCTTTAATATTTACATTCAATTTGACATCAAATAAATTATTTTTTTAATTGATCCGGTTTAATTTGTATGTTAATAAACCGCAATCTACTTAACTTGAAATTAATTAAATAATTTTAATTAAATATATTATTTAAAAAATATTTTTTAAAATATAAATTATTTTTTAATTATACATAAATATAATATTTTTATTAAGTTAATATCTTAAACTTAGTTTTTAAATAATAATCCTATTAAAATAATATATAATTAAATAAATAATAAAAAATTATATATATAACTTGATCAAGTTGAAAATGTATAATTTAAAATCTGATTCAATTCGACTCAAACTTAAAAAAAAAAATGACTTAGTCTCCGATTTAACTTCTAATTCCAAAAGAATCCTATCTTATTATATCGAAATGTATAAAAACTTATCAAGTATAAATTATAAAATAATATATTATGAAATCATTGATTTAGCATACCAAAATTATCCAAAAATATATATATAAATTATTAAAAAAACTACGTGCAACAAGAAGTTTGAACCTAACAAATTTTAAAATCGTTACATAAATTAAAAATTGAATATATAAAAAAGTTACCGAAAAATGGGTTCAAGTTAAAACAAAACTCAAAACATATTAAAAGCAGCAGCACTTTTTCTGAATTATTACAGAGAATTTTCAACTAATCCTTCTACATAGTGTAACACCATCACCGATTGAAACCTGGCAAATCTCCATGCAAGGATCGGAAGCCAAGTTGATATTCAAATCCAATATTCCCTTTCGTGAAGCCCTGGCAACCTCTGGCACTTCTTCTTCTTCTTGAGCAACATACCCATACCATAACGTGTTATCATATGCAATGACACCTCCAATCTTTACAAGTTTCTTTACATGTTCATGATATTTCACGTAATTGGTTTTGTCTGCATCCACAAAAATAAAGTCGAATTCTTCTTTGTGTTTGTCCTGCAACAAAAGAACAATTGCAATTGACCATCGACAAATACAACAAAATCGAATTATTCGAAATCAAACAAAATCATAAAATTATATTTATTTATGATAACAGTCACATAATTTTATAATAAAATGTTGGATTTTTAATTTCAAAAATCAAGATTCAAATCTTGCTGCTTTCAAAAGATATTTTATTCACTTTTATATAACAACATCTTCCTATAATAAAGGGACCTGAAATCTTTATGATTCTGTTATATTTGAGTTTTATCCAACTTATTATATTGGATTTGTTTAATTTTATGCTTATTGATGCGTAAATTTGATTTATTTTTTTGGTTTTTTTTTTATAAAATTCAGTACTTGTTGTAATTATAATTTTACTTGTACATGTAATTTCATAAAAATGCAATTTTTACCCTCTAATGGTTAATTATATATATATATATATTTGCATGTGAAAGTATAGTGGAAATCTCAGTCATTCTTTGTCAAAATTGGAAAGTTTATTTCTAAGAAAATCTCAAACAAACTTACATTGCTCGACATTTCACTTAGAACCTTGATGGCATCTGACTCAATAAAATTGATTTTGTGCTCCATGCCTGCTTTTTTAATGAATGGCAATCCAACATCAAAGTACTCTCGGCTCATGTCTATCGCAGTTATCTGAATAACAAAAAAAAAAAATTATTAGATTCATTTTACAAAAGAATATAGTTAGTTGAAATCAAAAAATATTTGTCACAAATCATCTCATTTTAAGATAAGGCATATCGTTAATCTCAACAAAAATCTATAAATCGCTGAATAACGAGAATTGAATTTAAATTTTATATTCGATCTTTATTGATTTGTGAGGAAATTATCAGTCTAATTAAACAGTAAAGTTACGTATACATGGCCATCATCAGGCAATGCAAGGGCAGTTGCAAGAAGGGAGTAGCCAGTGAAAACGCCAATCTCCAGTGTCTTCTTAGCCTTAATCAGCTTCAAAAGCATAGATAGGAACTGTCCCTCGTCTACCGGTATACCCATGCCGCTTCTGAAACACCCAAAAACAAAGAAAATCCCATTGTCATCTGTAACTTAAAAATCGAAAGAGTTAAAATTTAGAAACCAATATCCAACTTACAGCTTAGGATACTTGTCTGCTGTTGCTTCTCTTATCCCTTTAAGTTGTTCATGCTCTCTGGGATAAGCACTGGTATTCAAGATGTACTGCAAACACGATGAAAATGGTGATTTTGATTACCAAATATTAACAAATGCATAAAGATATTCACACGGATTAATTCAATTGATAAAAAAAGAAAAAAGAGACACAGAGATGGGTTGGGAACCTTTGCTAGAGCTTCGCTTTTGAGAAGACTTTTAGCAGGAAAGTTGTTGCTTGCCATTGCAAATGGCTTCTCCTATCAGTCTCTCACCCACGGACTCTGCAAATTTGTTTAAATAGCAACAAACTCTTCGTGGTTTTCGTCTTCAAGCACTCTCTTTCCAACATCAATATCGAGGCCATTGACACTTGTCGTTACGTGCATGAAAAAAACACCTAAAATTGAAAATTTCAGGTTTCAAAAATTAGGTAAATAATTAAAAAAAATTTTATTATTAAGGACGGAATAATTAAATATGCTCTTTGAAATGTAAAAGTTGACAATTAATTCTTCTGAATATATTTTGAAGTTATAAAATTATTTTTTATTCTTTCTTTGTCACCATTTTTTTTTTTTTATTTTCAACCATCGATTTTTTCTCTATTGATATGATATAATGTCGTTTTACTTTTGATCCCTACTCACAATATATATTTTTCTTATAATTAACCCTTTAGAAGTTTTTAAAATTTATTTTTTATACCATTTACGAATAATCACACGCAACATAAACACCAAAATTTTAAATTAGCTTAAGTTTGAATTTTATCATATTTTTAGTATGATATGATTAAATTTATCATATTATCAATTAAATTTAAAAATTAATTTTAATAAAATTTTAATTAATTTTTTTAATCATAATTATAATAATAATTATTATTATTTTTAATATCACTTAAAATTAATTTCATAATCTATTCAAATAGAGTCATAATATTAGTTAAGGATGCCTATTCTAACTTAAATTTGATTTTTTATAATATTATTTTATTGCAACTAAATATTATAATTATAATTATATATGAAATAATACATTCATAGGAAGGACAAACTTATCAATCACAATCACCGAGCAATGAAGTAACTCCGCTTTGCCTTCCCATGTTTCAAAAAGAGAACTTTAAAACCTAAAAAAATAGTGAACCTCCACCTGGCATTCACTGATTGGTCATACAACGACCTCATTGGACCAACTGTACAAACATCAGCGTCGGAGCCATACCCTCTAAATATCTTTGCCTGGTCAAAAATCAAAGGAAAAAGCTTTTTTCCTCGCCGTATTCCAAACTTCACGTGGTTGACGCAAAGACTTTCTATCAAAATCCGTACAAGTCGTCCATTCTTTAAGGATCAAAATTCTCTGGTTTTTGTTTTTTTGTTCTAATCAAAATTGGGGCATGGCGAAACCGAGTGAAAATGGGTCTCAGTCAATAGCACCTTTTCTTAAAAAATGTTATGAAATGGTAGATGATGAGGCTACGGATTCATTAATTTCATGGAGCCAAAACAATGATAGTTTTATAATTTGGGACATGACTGAATTTTCTGTTCAATTGCTTCCTAAGTACTTCAAGCACAGCAATTTCTCTTCTTTCATCAGGCAACTCAATATTTATGTGAGCCTCCCCTTCTCCTTATTTGTTTTTGTTATAAACATGTCAAAGTTGGGGTTTTCTTTTTTATTTTTTTGTTTGAGTTTGGATTTTGGAGTATTGAATTGGGTTCTGAGTTTTTGCATGTGAACTGTTGCTGGGTTCTTTTTTTTTTTTTTGTTTCTTTTTGAAGTAATTTTTGTTATTTTTATGCTGGAATTTTATTAATTTTATCAATTGGGTTTTTGTTTTGTTGCTTAGTTTTATTATTAATGTTGCTTTTTATTAGTTTTGAGTTCGATTTTTTTGCTTGTGGGAGCTTCTTTTTGGTGTTCAAGTTGCAGTGTTGGATGTTATATTCTAAGCAGTGTGAATTCAAGTTTCTAAGTGAAATTTTATAGGGGTTTTTGGCTTATTTTCAGTTTCTAATATAGAGGGGGAAAGGGATTCTAGATGAATTTTTTCTCAATTTTGCTGTAATGGTGAGGGCAGTATCAGTTTGAATTTTGCAAATTAGAAAGAGCAAAAATGGTATTGACTTGATAGTTTCTTGACTTTTTTGCCTTCTTTATTTGTACTGTTGAGCGAAACAAAGTATGGCTAAGTTTTGCTAGATAGATCCTTTCATTTTAATGGGATTGTTCATATCAATTGAAATTGCAGTGTAAAAGTTCTTGATGGTAGCAAGAAGATTTAGGGTAGTAAAGAAGGAAGTATGCAAAAGGGAGAATTATTTGCTCTCGGTCTTGTATGCCTAGTTTAGGATCAAAAGGGAAAAGAGCTTGTAAATGTCAGCTGTCAAGGGAACTTAAAAGTGCTTCCCTGCATGCATTTTGTTTTCTATCTGTTTTTTTCTAAAAGTTTTTTGACCAAGTGTTAGAAGGAACACACCTAAGACACACACCCCCAAGTGAGATTCACAAGTTCTAAGAGCGATAAAGTTAAGGGAAAATGATAATTAAGCATAATCTACAGTATGCATTTGTCCATGTTGATGCTTCTATATTTTCTAACTTAAAAATTGGGAAAAAAACTAATTATTCTGTATTATTAGGGCAATATTAGTATGAATAAAATGAATGAAATCATTTTATGCTAGGCTTAAATCTGTTAGATGCACTCTACTGATTAACAGAAGCTAAGTTTTGTAACCCTCTCAATCCTGTCAAAGTATGTGGGGTGAAAATTGTTGGTTGTTTTAGGAGACCGTAGTGCCATTTATGGTTACTGTCACAGTTGTAAAATTTTGTAAAAATTGTTGAAATTTACTGGACTGCTAATTTAATCAGTCATCCACCTTTTTTCCTACTCTATTTGCCACTTGTTTGTTTTAGTAGAATGAAATGCTTAATTCATTGAAGTTTTCATACCTTTTCAATGATTTATTTCTTCTTGCTTTTTTATGTGGTTCTCATAATGTATTTCTGCATGTTTGTTCTACCTTTTCCATTTTGATTTTGTACTTTGTTGTGGGTGGGAAGAGATTGCAGAGGCAAATGCTTAATGACTTTTGGCCTTTTTCTGCTAGTATTTAGGTCGACAACTTGACATTGTCTTGGTCTTTCTTTCTTTTTGGTTTCTCTCATCATTTTCAATGTTCTATTGATTAGATCTGTAACACCATGAGGAGTTAAAGGTATGAGTTTCAATACCTACTGTAGTCTGCATGCTACTGCTTATTCTTTCTTGGGGTGCCTTTTCACTAATTAATATTATAATCCTAAAGAGAAGATTTGAACATATAGGTTGAATTTGGTTGATCACCCCTTTTCTTTATTATCTCTTTATTTATATCTAATAATTGTGGTAACTGTGGCCAACAATCCTATCATTAAGATTTGTACCTGATTTGCACATTTGTTTCCTATCATAAATGATTTGCAAAAATAGTTGTTATCCGAATAGAAGTTTACTGATTCGGGCATCCCCTAGAGCAATTTTCAAACAATTGGTTCCAAAATAATTGCACTGTTTCAGTCCAGTTTAGCTGGCTAGGGCATTAATTTGACATTCATATAGTTGCAAGCAAGGGCATAAAATGCCGCATATAAATGTTTAATGCTAAGCCTAAACTGAGTAGGCAGCTTAGTTTATATCTGATACATGATCCTGTACAGTACAACTTGAGAATAAAAGCGAGAGGTTAGCTACTTCAGTTGAGCTATCATGGACATGAAATAATTGGAGGCATGGTTAACCTGTTATGGCTCTTGTCTTTTAGTAAACCCAAAAGACTATACTAATGGAGTACTAAACAGAAAATCTTCTTTGTTGTCATAGATTTGCTTATAATAGAAATCAAAGAGTACAAATTTGTGTGCAAATGTAGCAGCTTTGTTCATATGTATTCTGCATGTGTGTATATCTAGGTGTATGGCGTTAGAAAGCATTTCTTGGGTGAGTGTGTATGCATGGGTGTTCTATTTGAACTGTTAACCATTATTGAATACATTAGTAACCCTTCCAGTTTTTCCAGGGTTTTAGAAAAATTGAGACAGATCGTTGGGAATTCGCAAATGATGGATTTATCAGAGGTCAAAAGGACTTGCTGAAGAATATTGCTAGACGGAAACACTCCCAGGGATCTGAGCAGCGTAAATCACTGCAGCAGCAGCAGCCACCACAGCAACAGGAGAACTCTGTTGGATCATGTGAAAACAATGAAAATATTGGCCTGTGGAACGAAGTTGAGAAATTGAAGACTGATAAAAATGCTCTTATGCAGGAGTTGCTTAAACTTAGACAGTGCCAGGAGACTGCAGACAACAAGGTGCTTCTCTTGAAGGATCGTCTTCAAGGAATGGAGAAAAGTCAGCAGCAATTGTTGTCATTCTTGATAATGGCCATGCAAAGTCCTGGCTTTTTGGTCCAACTGATTAAACCAAAAGAAAATAATTGGCGTGTGGCTGAGGCAAGCAATATGCTAGAACAAGTTGGAGACGATGGCGAATCAGTGGCTTCTGATCATATGATAGTTAGGTATCAGCCTCCTATGGATGGAACAACAAAGCCAGTTCTCACACCAATGGTAGATTCTGAAAATCCTCATGAATCTGATAATTCTTCAGATGGAATGAAAGATTTTTGGATGAATATTGATTTTGTGAAAGTGCTTATGGATGAAAGTCATACACCTTGCATTCCACCGGATTTACATGATGATGGTGCATGGGAAAAGCTTCTTTTAGGTAATGCTTTTCTAGAGAATAATGATGATGGAAATCAAGATAAAGAAGGGCCCATCAACTCTGGTATGGAACTGGAGGTAACAGGTTCTGGAACCCATTTAGAAAAATCTCGTAGTTTTGAACTTTTACTACAAAATATGGGGAAATCACAAAACCTGGAGATTGAACCACTGGTAAATGGATCACGGTTGGAGAAATCTCAGAACTTGGAACTTCTAACCGAACAAATGGGACATTTTGACTTCCAAAAGTACTAAACTACATGGAAGTTCATAGAAAGGTACTTGGAAATTTTTGTGCAGAATGCATGTCCTGTTATCTCCTCACATTCATGTTTCCTCTCTTAACTTTTATCCAATTTATGTATAATTTTCTATAAATTTCTTTTCTTCTTTTCCATTTACACTATATCTAAATGCTGGCAGCACGTTCTTCATGAAACAGCTGCCTAGAAATTTATGCAATTTTAATACAACTAGTGACTAGTGGAGGATGATATGGTAGTTTAACTTTGTTTATGCAAAGTCGCTATAATGCTCTACCCGTGTCTATGCCAAGTAACTGTTTATGCCAGGGCAATTTGTACACTTGCATATGCAAGAACGATTCTGCTGTTCTTGGTGCTGAGATCTCTCTCTTTTGCTGTGGACATCCATGCATGCAGGCTGCGCATTTGTTTGTTTGTTTGTTTCCTTGTATTTAATAACACAGTTTGCATGAGTGCACTTTGATCGCAACTGAGTCACCGTTAATGGCGAGAATGGGAGGGGAAAAATTCATCAAGATCATATGAGATTTAATCTAATTAGGATTATCAAACAGACGAAAAGAAATCTAGATGTTCTGTTCTAAAGAACAAAGACGCATAAACTTCTGCACAAGCAAGATAACCATATAGTTTGGACAATAGTAGTAGGGCCTAGGGATGGATAGCCTTAGCCATGCCAAAAGCAGCAGCAGATGCAATGACACCAATGAAAGCAGTTTGGACAGCACTTTTTCCGGGTTGGTTGCCAGTGAAGTAACCCTTGACGTAGCCAAAGATCAGGAGTGCCGCTATGGTTATGATCACTGATGCAGCCACAGCATCCCTAACTTTTGGAAAGAACATGTAAGGAAGAAGTGGCACCAACCCACCCAATATGTAAGCAATAGCAATAGTGAATGCGCTCTGTAATGCTCTTCCTGGATCCGGCTGCTCTAATCCCAGCTCAAACCTGCATTCACAGCATTATTCGCCTATAATTTCCTGTATAAACTCCCTTGTTCTTACTCATCGTTGCAAAAGCCCATGTCACTTTTTCTTAGTTAACTTTTATATTAAAGGAGAAATATTATTTGGAAAATTATTCCACCCACATTCAATTAGTTTTAACTATTTACAAATAATATGAAATTATTTTGAAAAATTAGACAAGTATAAAAATTTGTCTAAAATTAATGAGGGAGAATGAAAAACTTACTTCATCATAAAATCTAGCCAAGCCTGAGGCCTTTTCATCAGAGCTTTCACCACAGGCTCATATTCATGTGGCTCTATCCCATACACCGCCAGTATTTCAGCCACCTCCGCAGCCTCTGCGCTTGCAGCAACAAACCCATTAATTTTTCTAAATTTATGCTTCATTTGAGCGATCGGGGCTAGTGATGGATTCCAAATTTTTGTTAAAAGTATCAACTTATAATATATATATATATATATATATAATTAAGAATAAAATTATCAATTTTATCAATGAAAATAATATTTTAAAAAAATTCTTTCAAAATTTTTTATTTTTATTTATTAGTAGAATCTATGGACATCTTACATCAAGATAAACATCTTCCTCTTGTAAGTAGTAGAAAGAAATTATCTAAATTATCTTCCTCTTGTAAGTAGAATCGAATCTTTTTCATTGATCATCTAAATGAAGCATTAATCCGCTTAAAATTAATTTTACTTAATTATTATTTACCGGTATCAGGCATGCTAATTATTTCTTCTTCCTCTCTTTTCAACTCCCTTGCATAATGATCGGCTTCACTTTTAGCCGCCAGATAACTGCAGCACACAGAACAACACAACATCATGAATACTAACTGTACTTCCTAAATTTAGTTGCAGTTATCTACTTGTAACATTTTTTTTTCTTGCAGTTTCTTGGTAACCAAACAGTAACCAATCGTGAACATATTAAAACAAAACTATGAGACATACCCGCCGAGTCCCATGGAGATGGCACCAGCGGCAACCTCAGCGAAGCCAGCAGTGAGAACAATGGAAGATGTGGCATTGGCACCGGACAATCCAGCAACAAGAGCAAAAGGCACAGTGAGACCATCGGATACACCTATGATAATGTCACGGACTATCTCTGCAGATGTGAAGTGCCTTTCTTTGTGTTGATTGAGAAGGCTTTGCTTCTCGGGTTCAATCTTTCCTCTGCTGCTTTCCCCAGCCATGGAACATGAATCCTGGGTGGTTTTTTTGTTGTTGTTGTTTGGTAACTAACTGGTTGATAATGCCAAAATCCAAATGACGAAAAATGAAATATGAAGTTGTAAGAAATGGGAGGTTTAATCTAAGAAGGTCCTCTTGCTGACTGTAATAACTGGGAAAACATTGGTGTTTCTCTCGTTTATAATTATTGTATTATGATTAATTAATCATAATTTAAATTTTTTTGAAATTCATTTAAATTTTATATATATCTCACACTTATAAATCGAATTATTTATTTACTACATGTAATACATCAAGAGATCACCTTCCCTCGTTACATAAATTTTATCATTTTTATTAAAATTCTCGAACCCCGAAAATTTCAAAATTAAAATCTCAAATTTTAACTATTTAAGAATACTGGTAACAAAATTAATATTATACATTCTTGTCAGCCCCTGAAAATATTGTATTGTCGATTAGGAGTTAGGACTTCTTTTGTTAGAAAATCAGTCAATTGATTGGATTTTTCTAATTTGTTTGTTGATGCTTGGCAAGCACACGCACCCACTAAAGAAATTACAAAGGCAGAGACAAAGTAGTAAGTATTCAGAGTGGAATATATATATATATATATATAAATTTCGGAGATAAATAATTATCAATTATCAAATCAAAATAATGTTTTACTTGACAGTATAAGATAAATAATTATAAGTTATACATTTAAAATGATCTTAATAAATGATCATCGATAAAATTTAAAAATAATTTTTTTATAAAAAAATAAATTTAATCGATTGAACCAACTACTCATTAATATTCAGAGCAAAATATTCTGCATCATTTTCGTCTCCACTCAAGAAAACGGTCCAAATCTCTTTGAACTGTTGAGCCCTGACGTTCTGGGTAACCCAGATAAGCACGGGTTCTTTGCTTTTTCGTTTTTTGGCACTGCATTCATCGATGATTCTCTTCATACTTTTAATTTTTAAAGTTTAAAAACCCCATTAGTTTTATCTTTTCTTTTTTTTTTCTTTTCTTGATTCGAATGACAATGTAAATGTTGGTGTCCAAGACAAAGATAAGGATTATTCTTTATATTTATATTTTGATGTTCAAATCAAACGTCAATATAAATGAGGTCAGAAAAAATAAGTTAATTTAGATAATACGCTTAATTTATAAGTAAAAAGTAAAAAATTTGTGTGATATTGTATATGTTAAGTCAACTTGATATGTTAGATCAATTCAAAAATAAAAAATTCTTTTGATTGTTGATAATTTTTAATGAAAAATATACCAATTTATCTAGATCAAAAAAATCTCAAACAGTAAATATAATAAATAATGATTTTATCTTAGTTTTCAGCAATATTTTGTACAAAAAACTCACGAATTAAAAAAATCAAAGAATAATTATTTAAATTAAAATGTTGTTTTATTCATCTAAAAGATATTGAGAGATACGTCTAACAATTTCAAATATCTCGTGAATTAGATGATGTTAATTTAAAACAAATTTTTAAAAAAAATTTTCAAAAAATCTTATCCGATAAACAAAAACTCAGCTCAATTTAAAATCTCTCGATATTAAAATCATGAATCTTAATGATATATACGAAATGATGATAAAAACCCTTAAGCGCTCGATAAGATTTGTGAAAAGCGCATATATGTTTTTGTGAATAGTCGGTGGTTGAATTATTAGATACGTTAACATTCTCAAGAAAAACAAACAAAAAAGAAGTCCAATTTTCCAGCTGCTTTGGATGATTTTTTTAACTGTACATTGTTTATTGCTGAGTTAATAAAAGGTTAATCCCTGGTTACAAAAGCACTGAAGTGAGACAAAAGTCTCACAAAAATTAAAGACAGCCAAGAACAACGCTTTTGATTTTAGAAGCATATTCTTTGATGTTAGTGAAATTCATATAGATGTTGAATCCAGCAATGCTATTGATCAAAACCCATATTTGGTTGTTGGATAAATAGATATTACAATTTTTAAAATAAGATAACACATGCGCAAAAAATTATATATAAATTTAACAAAAACATATCAATATAAATTTAATTCAATAAAATTTTTTATATTTTATACATATTTAACATAACATAAGCACGATACAATACAATTATTCAAAAGCTTAAATGAAGTTCATAACCCATATTGTATGGATAGGTTTAAAGAAAAAATAGAAATCCTAAAATCATTAAGAACAACCCTTAAACCATATATATATATATATATATATATATATATCTATATATTTGTTGTTGGGTATTTGATTAGCTATTTCTCTACAATTAATCAGAGTTAATGTTGGAATTAAGACTTAGCTGCTTTAAATACTCATAAGTAAGAGGGCGTTTCCCCTCCTTCGGGCTAATAAAATGATCAGACCTTCAATTACTAGAAGAAATCGCAATTTCGACCAACCTCTCCATCATGGGTGAGTTGAGATCCAAGCTTGATATGATCAAAGATTGACAGTCAACCATACAAATACTCTGTTACAGTAGCTTCAGCAAGTCAAAGCGGTGTTGGTGGTTGAAATTGAGAGCTTCGAACGAAAATGGGGTGGGGATAAGGACAATACAAGAATTACTAGGGCAAAGTCCAAATTCCCAGGTAGCTTCATAACTGACAACACCAAATGTAATACATTTACTTGGGATTTCTGAGAACAATTATAACAGAATCTCCCCTAAGCAACATCTCACTGATGAATCTATCCTTGTTAACTGAATGGGCCTTTTTCTTGCCTTTCCCAGTCTTTGGTGCCTATATCAAATGGGGGAATGATTGTAACTTTTTATTCAACTGTAAAGAAGATTCATGGATAAGATGGAAGAATACAAAAGAAACGAAGAAAACAAACCTCAGTCCACATCTCCCTGACATTTTCCAGAACCATGTTGCAGTGCCGATCGAAAGCTCTCACCCGGCTAGAAGTTTTTTATTGTTACGACAGTTGATTAGAACATGCTTTCATAAAATTCAAATTCAGCTCTACATAATTACATCCTCATTGCCATGCAGATGAGCAATTGCTAAGGATCAGAAGATGGGCACATTACCTAAGTGTTATTTTTAATACTCATCATCAGAACGGACAGAGGTCCTGTGTTAAGTTCCTCTTCCTCATTCTTTACAGTCTGCAAGCAGATAAACAAACAAGAGACGAATATCAGCAAACATATACATTTGATGCGAAAAACTGAAAACATATAAACAACGCCAAAAAATGGCATTTAAGATAACTTACATCTTCTTCCATCGGCCGACTGCAAAAAGAGAAGCAAACAAATGGGAGGTCAGAATATCATGTATGAAAAGCAACAAAAAATAGTTACTAAAGATACAGAGGAAAGGAAACAAAAAGGATTAACCAATTAGTACCTCATTTTCAACTACGGAAGTTTTCAGTACTATCTCCCAGTAAAACCAAGCAAAAACCATTAGAACACTTAAAACTCAATAAAATCTCACTACAATTGAAAATGGAACCAACATGGGGAACTGGAACAAATTTCAATGCTTACATACCAAATGAATACTAAACTTATTGAAACAATTGTAGAATATGAAAATGCATAACTATACAAGCACCGTAAAAACTGCCCGAATGGAAATGATACTATTATGGCTTCATTGTAAATTGCTCAATGGAACAAAAACAAAGGATTATTAGCGAAAAAACCATGCACAACCTAGCTTTTCAAAGATATAACTAATTAACTTAAAGTGAAAATAATGGCAGTTCAGTTTTTCTTTTTACTTACATTTTCATACAGAAACATTTTCATACAGAAACCACTGTATCACAACATCATATTGAAAAATCCTCTGAAACTCCTCAGCTCAGGTCTCCATAAATTTTCAGCATAAATTAGCTCAGGAGAACGAAAGTTTTTATAGTGAACATCATCAGAGTAACAGAAGCTCTTCAATTCCTAATCCCAACACAAATTCTTGATCTAAAACTAAGCGTATAACATATATATATATATATGCTAATTTATACAAATTCCAAACCCCTAAACCCTAAAAATCCTGACAGGAATTGTTTAAAAAAAAAGCGACAAGCTAGCTAATGAAACAACGATAAAGTAAGAGAAAAGCGGAAAGAAAATAAGACGGAGAAATTACGTTTACCTTATTGGCGCTATACCGATTGTATCTGATTCAAAGATAAATGAAGTAGAGAGCCGCTTTATAGAGATTCCGACGACAAAAAACAAGAAAAAATACTCTAGTTTTTTAAATTGGGGTTTTGTCTTATTGGTCTTGAATCTGCCTATTTAGCCCAATATTAGGGGTTTTGGGCTAAGATTTGTTAAGTTTATGGGCCTCAGCTTGGTTGATTACCAATTGCAGGTTTTGGGCCTAAGTTGTTAAAAGAAAATTAAAATAGAAACAAAACGAAAAAACAACGGAGAAATTGTTTTGGTTAAGTGTAAAAAAATCCATGAACTAAAAATTAAATATGATAATTTATTTATTCATATTATATAAAATATTGATAATATATATTTATATCATATTTTATATAATATTACGTGTTATAATTTTTATTGATATAAAAAACATATAATATATATTTTTTGTTTTTATTAAATCTCTATATATAATTTTTGTTAAAATTTTGTCATCTGACCTTTTTTTTTTTTCATATCATTTTTAGGAAGTGTTTTAAATTATCAAATTTAACTAAAACTAAATAATTATTTAAATCTTTATCATTTTATTGCAATCAATTGAATTTTTAAATATTTATTTTTTACTTAATTAGGTTCTTGTTAGACAAAAATTAATTAACCGTTATCACCAATTTTAGTGTAAACAAAATTCAATTAAGTGAAACTAGATGATTAAGGACTTAATTGAATGAAAATAAATATTTAAGAACTCTTTTTTATATTTATATTTTTATAGAAAATAAAAATCTATGTCCTTTTAATAAAAAAGGTCTTAGTTTGAGAATATTAGAAAAATATATAGTTATTGATTTAAATTTCAAATCTATTATATACAATATTTTAAGAGTGATTGGAAAAATAAACTAAGATAAGTCTCAAATTTAGAAAAAAAAAAAATCAATGTTGAGAACTATGTTGACAAAATAGTCCAAAAGTACAACATGCTCTTGTAACTTACAAAACATATATGCAAGAAGATCCCAAAATTCAAATTTAAAATCCCCAAATTTTGATCATTGGGATAACCCTAAGGATCAAGCAAGCACCTTTAGAAGTATGTGATAACAAACAAAAATGATTAACAATGGTAAAACAGAATGTGATTTCCCCCACCTTTTGATTTTTCATATATTTATCCATTAAAATGGAATAAAATATTCATCCATTAATAACATATACGATTTTTTATTAATAATTTATTTATTTCTTCTCGTGGATTAAACTTTAAACAAATGGATATATGTTTATATTGTGTTTTATATGAAAATTACGTATTACAATTCGTATATTTTATTAAATTTATATATAATAATTATTAAAATTTTAAATTATATTATTTTTTTATCATACTCATATTATTTTATTATATTTTTAATTATTAAATCTAACTCTGAATGAATGGTCAGTAGTCTAACTACGAAGTGAAGATAAATTAAAAAAGCTAAAAAGAAAAATGCCGAGAAGCCAAAGATTAGAATACCAAAAGATGCATGCACGCCTAGTAAAGACAACAGCAAATATCCTTAGTTCCCTTTCATTTCCACAATGTCTAAGATCTAAAGTATTGCAACCCATATTTTGAGACCATCCGCCCCACGTTATTTTTGCAGGCTTTGCAACATCCATGTGCATATTAATACACACAATTTGTTACAGAGACAAATAACAATGTAAACAAGTAGAATATTCTATGAATAATTTAAAAATAAATTTAATTTTTATTTATTTATTAAATTTAATAAACGATTATCAATAATATTTCAAAATCCTTTAATTAAATGAAAAATCACAAAGAATTGAATATATTTAACTCAATAATACACATTTTTATTCAAAGAATTGAATTTAAATTTTTTCGATTTTTCTAAAATTATAATGTTTGATAAACCTAGACCGTTCACTCACCTTCTTAGATCTTAGGAGATGGATCTATGATTGGGATTCGAACCCTAATTCCTACAATATCCAAGGCTTTATCTTCTTTATAATCCATTAAAATCACAAAACAAATCTATACTTTTTTAATGTGTGTCTGCGAGTACGTGTGCCAAACGTGTAATGCAACATAACTGCAGAATTGCCCATATCTTCTTCTTTAGAGTTGATGTACATGATTCATGTCCGTAAATAGAAATAGTCATAGAAATTGTGCCAGACAAATCCCTGCAAAAATGGGGGAAAAAGTTTGGCCATGACATGTGCAACATGCGCACAAATGACTTTTTACCCCGTTGCTTGGTCGCTGGATTCTCACCATCCTATTCACTCACAGATCCTTTTTGCGGCTATGTTTGTCTGCCACATTAAACAAGTTATTGTTGCCATAATGTAAGGAGATGGAGGGTCCCAAAATTAGATAGTTATCAAGGATCATGCGAAGATTAACACCATTGCTGTTGATGTTGAGCTTCGAGCTGAAGGTGAAAACTCTAAAATCATACGAAAAATAAAGCAATTAAAAGTAAATGTAAGGAGTGTGTCTTATATTTTTATTCTAATGCTCGTCGAGACATGAGAGGTCAAAAGAAAAAAAAAGAAGAAGAAAGTAGAAAAAATAATCTGATGGATAAATAATATCTGAATAGTTTTATTTATAAGTAGAAAGTAACGAATTCATAAAATAGAATAATGATATAACCGATCTAATGAGATATTGTGCATAGATCGACCCTAAAAATAAAAAATATTTTTGTTTATCTACTAACAATCTCTAATGAGAGAAAGAACCAATTTGTCCTTTGAATTCATAAATACTCCTAGCAATTACTTCAACCGACAAAGAGCAAGACAAAACTCTTGAATCTTGATCTAGGACAACCCAAGAAAAAGGAAAAATAAGGGGAAAATAAGAAAGGAAATGACCGATGGATGATGAGAGTGTATTCTTCTTTCGATTGTTTTAATTCGGATTTATTAGGAAGCTGTGAGATTATAATTTTTCATGAATTTCTTAGGTTCAATATCGACAAGTCTATTTAGAGTGATCCGAAAAGAAGTTATACCGGATAAAGCCTAGGAACACCTTACCGAGACAATCATTCATGCCAACTCAATTATAGAAGCATTTCCATCAAGACTAATGGCCCCAAAGCAATCAAATCATGTTAAGAACATATACAAGGGTGCAATATGGAATATCCTATTCAAGCATGAAAATAAAATTCCACCGAAAGAAAAACAAAATCATGATAGATCCAATCAAATATGTCAAAGGGGGTAGATACAAAGATTAAAAATCGATCTTAAAACATTGCTGTCTATCAAACTTTTCAATTCAAAATCATCTTCTCTGTTATGCTGTACATTCTCAAGAAAACAAAATCACTTTCTCTGATCATGACATTGTGGGACTGCCCTCTCAACTAACCCCAACTAAGTTCCAAAATGAGGACTTTGTTCATTAAAAAATATCATTTTATCAACTGTTATAGCTATATCGATTTTTATGAAGTACCTTTTTGAGTTTTCATGGTATCTACCAAAATTCTGCATTATTAACTGTAAGGAGCTCTACGAGGAATGCCTTTCCTTTTGTTCACTCGTTTCCTAGGCCTTAAACTTGTGTTCACCAATGTTTTAGTCTCTGAAACATCGGTGGATGAGATTGAGGATTGCTTTGCTTCTGTACTTACTTCTGAATTTTGATTGTCCCTCGAGGAAAGATCAGGAAGTTCTTGTATAGGTAATTCCATTTCATCACTTTGGTCTGTAGGCTTCACATCAAAAGCTGATACCTGAAAATATTTACTGTTACTTCAAGAAAATGGGAAATTCAAGTACTAAACTGCAGTTTTCAGAGATGAATCCAAAGTGAATTTACCTTGCATGCAATGGAACAAAATTGATTAGGCGGGTCTTGAAGGTATCTTCCACAACCTTCACAGGCAGCAGCAGCTTTTGATTTTGTTGATGGTTTGGCATCTTTAGCTTGAGGCCTAGGAAGCAAATGTACTGCTCTTTCACCATTGACCTTGTATGTCTGTCAGATAATTAGAAATCATTTCAGTAATGAGAACTATGATCATTCCAATTGCTACTAAAGTTTATCAAAAGAGAAAAGCTAAAGGCAATCAAAGCAATCACTGAAGTAATTATAAGTTCAAATTGTGGTTGGAAATATTGAGAAACCAATGCAGTAATAGAACAGCAGGGAAAAGAGGTTTCATTGTTCAAATAAAGTAAAAGAGGATTGATAATCACAAACTCATATTCATCTATGCATATATATCAGCAACAATTAGAAGAAATTAATGACAAATTTTGCATTCTAATTTGTAATTTACCCCAAAACAATCTTTTATCACATCCATAATACTATCAAATGCAACAAGGCAAAGGGATAGTATTGAATTGAAACCTGAATTTTGGAGCAGTCAAGATGCTTCTGCATTTCTTGAAGGCGAACTACATCTTGATAGACATATTTGCAGATCTGAATTGACCGATGCTGGCTGTGAGCCTCACAATGTCTGCAAAACTCGAGACTACAGTCGATGCAGAACATATTTTTCTCATATTTCCTGAGCTCTTGATGATCAGAGCAAGGGCCAAAGAACTTGTTTTGCAGAAGAGAACTAAGCCAATCTGTTTTGTTCTTTACGTACAACCCAGAACCCACCTACAATACCAGATTCAATTCCCTGATATAAAAAAAAGTTTGAAAAGCAATAAACTTTCAACATTCTTGATTTACAATTCATTCCAAGATTAGAGCTTTAATAAGTACTCAAAAGCAATGGAAACAAAATAGTAAAGTCAATAAAGAATAGGATAAACAGATGAATTCTATATCAAGATTCAACATTTAATGTGAATATACACCATTAACAAGTATAACTCATCAAATTTTCAACTAAACCAGTACAATTTAACAAACTTCAACATTCAAGATTCAAAATTCAAAAAACAACTGTAAAGCTGTTGAATTCATGGAAGGGTAAAAGTTTTAACAAATTGATATTAACCCAGGAAGCTATGCAGGCTGTTCTCATCAGTATATCACAGCTGCACCAAATACAGGATTCAAAAAGATTGTATTTCTTTGTGTTTATCTAAATTTTCCTGGGAACCATACAGACCTTGACAGCCTAATAACATCAATCACCAAGAAGAAAACCAGATAGCCATCATTCAGAACTGGAAATTATGGTTGGCAGAAAAACAATTCAAACGACGCAAACAATTTGCCAAGAAACAGAATTCTCACCATTTCTCGGCTTTAAATTTGATTTTTTTTTGCCTTATTTTCTATGATCAATACTCTAATGAATACAATTTGCAAATTATAATTTGCAAAGAAAGTTGAAAATTAAAAAAAGAGAAGGGAGAGAGGGAGAGTGAGTGAGTGAAAACTGAGAATACAAGCCTACAGAATGTGGAAAGGAGAGATACAGGGAATGTGCAGTGAAAGATATTAAAAATAAAATGGAAAGTAAGAAATTTGTGTCAGTAATGTTTTCTAAGGAAATGAAGTGACCTACCCTAGGCGGGAAAGGTTAATAAATCATTCTGATTGGAGAGTTAAAACTTGATCAGACGGCTATTAATTTATTAAATTTTTTTTAATGAAGTTGTTTGTTGAAATCATAAACCCTATCTAGGTAGCGTTTGGTTCCAAAAAATTTATAAATTTTTATTCAAATTTTTGGTAATGAGTATTTGATTTTTAAATTTAATTTAAGGTAATTCAATTACAGAAAAATATGATAAATTTTTAATAGTACTCAAGATTCTAAAATTAGAAACTTATATTTTTTTCTGGTTTTATAGGATTTTAAAAAGGAATGTTGTTTTATTTTTAAATTTAACATAAATAAAAAATTATAAAATAATTCGTTATCGTTTTAAAAAGTATCAACTGGTATACTGAAACTCAATTGTAAATTTTTGTATAAAAATTTTTTTTATATTACTACTAAAGCGTTTGGCACGAAGAAATGTATTAAATAATCATTTTTTGTTTTTATAAATAAATTATTTAAGATGTTTTGTATAGAAAATACTTTAAATAATGTTTTCATATTTTTTAAATGACATTATTTAATATATTTTTATCTAAAAACGCTTTAAATAATATTTTTTAAGAAAATAAAAAGATTATTTAAAGTATTTTTAGGTAAAAAAATACCTTAAATAGGTCCAAAAACAACTTAAATAGTTCTTTCATTTTTATAAAAGACATTATTTATGTGTTTTTGTCCAAAATTATCTTAAATAATATCATTTAAAAATATAAAAATGACATTTTTATACAAAAATACCTTAAATAATTTTTAATATTTTTTTATTGATGATATTTTATAAATAAAAATAACAATTATAAAACTATTGTTTTCTTTTGACATCATTTGTCATTTGAGTATTTATTATTAATAAAAAAAATTATATATGTCAAAGATATTAAAGTAATTATTTAAAAATTAATATATGTAAATTTTTTTAATTAAACGAATAAATCTAAATATGAAATATCTTAAAAATAAAAAATAACACTAAATATCATGTTTTAATAAAGATTATATTTTTTCTTAAAATTTATAATTTCGCGAACCAACAGACCCTTAAAATAATTTTAGGGACAGTAATTTTTATCAACTATTAATAATTTTGTTTGACTTATCAGTTTGTGAAAATTTTTACACTGATTGCTAATAACTTTTATTATTAATTTATTAAATAAAGATATCAATTAAGGTGCAACAATTTCTCAATTAATTATGTTTTCTAAATTTAGAGAAATCATTAAATTTCATATAATAGTATTTGACATAACGGGAAGAGAATTTTATTTTTGAAGATTTGAGGAGTGACTTTTTCATTGGCCTCAATTTTCTCCATTACGTCAGCTCTTTTAAAGTGGTATAAAGAAAGTCAAAAATAATTCTCAAGTTTCAGTGTGTAACTCACGTTTTGCATAGTGCGTTTTTCTGTCTGTAGTGATTAATGACTAAGCCAATTCGTAAAATTCTTCCTTTTAAAGTTAGGTACGAAGATCATTATTCCATCTACAGTACAGGATTGGATTATCACGTAAATACAGGGAGATTACAACTATTTTTTTTACCTAAGAGCCTAACCTGAGAATAAAAAAAACGGTTATGTGTTGAGAGGTACTGATTGTTAAATGATATCGTTTAAAAATGATATTGATGAATGCTTAAGGAAGGTTTTTGTCAGAAAAGGTGTATGACAGGAAATTTTTTTGTTTATAACATTTACAACTCTTGCCTTTACTTGCTGATAAATTTGGAAGGATAGGTGTGACAGGCAAATATTGCCAATAGAGATTCAGACATGATTAGTACTGTAGGAAGAATACAATTACAGAATACAAAAGGAAGCAGGCGACTGTGAAACCAAGGAGGCATGAAGTATAGGAACCTCCTAGCAAAGAATGGATCAAGGTGAATCGTGGTGCAGTTTTTAGTCTAAATCCTGCCAATGGTGGAAGAGGGGTCATTGCTCACAATGAGGAAAGTGAAGTGATAGGTGGGATTGGGAAGCCTGTATCTGCTAAATCCAGTTTTGGATGAAAGGCAATGGCTGTGAAGGAAGGTTTCTCAGGCAGGTTACCATATGAGACAGGTCTGCCAAAGGTAATTCTTGAAACTGACTTTGAAGTATTAGTGAAAAGTATGAAGGCTATTGAGATGTGTAGGGAGAGAAGCCGATAAAGTTGCAGATTGGATAACTATCCAGTCTAAGAGAATGATATGCCATGCTGATGGGTTCATATGCCGCCATTCTCCCTAGTTTTCGTTCCCTACAAGGAAAGATGGTTTCCCTGCTTCTCCTTGAGGGTAGTTTTGATTGGGATGCATAAGAGAGGCCTGCGGGCTGTTCCTCATTTTTTTTTTTCCTTAAAATGAGAGGCCTTAATAATTATAGTACTTATGTAATATTCTTTTTTAAAGAAAAAAAAACCCTAATTAGGTATCATAAATGACAATGTTATCCCTTTAAAGATATATATATTATATATATATATATATATATATATATAAAAGTGTTGAAAACATGAACAAATTTGACATGGACAAATTTGACTTCTGGTCGTAGTGGCATAACATTAAGAATCAAAAAAGGAAAGGGCCTGTCTTTATCTGTAAAGATATAAAGAAGAGTTGTACCGTTGCTCCAAAATTTGTTAGGTCTGAACAGGATCATCAAAATACATATAACGACATATCTAGGACTGATATCTTACATGTCTTACCAAACTCTAGCCATTTTTCAATACATCAAAGCTTTCGCAAAAATCTTCACATTTATCATGTTTATTATCCCTAATTTTTTTTGTTGTCATTATCACGTTAATTAATTTAATTCAGTATAAAACTGATATAATCATACTTTTTATATTTATTAGAGATGATTTATTTATTTCATTACTTTGATACTTTTATAGAGGCAAGAAATGCACCAGAAGACGAGAGAAATAGTACCATTGAAACCTTTGAAACCAGCCAGTGATTATTCTCTACAAAATTGGAAGGAAAACCCATGTTGTACATGTAAATCCCCTGTATTTGGGAGTCCAATTACCATATCATATGTTGTATCCTGCTACCTGTCTCACCAAGAAATCTGAGCGTTTCTCCGACCAGGTGAAATCAAATGGGTGCAACAGGAGCTTCTGATGATACCCACCTTTGTTGTTCTAAATCAATCAAAGTGAGGATGTTGTTTTCCTCTACGACACCTATTGACATACCAAGTTGCATGTTTTTGAAGGCCCATGCCAATCATCACTTTCAGGCTTGTGAGCATGACATAGGTCATGGAAATCAAGAGGAGGATCCAAAAGAATCTCCATGGCAGGGGGCCGTATGGGAGGTGAGCAGCATATACTGGAGTCAGCACTCGAATGACCTTAAAAACAGAAAAAATAATAATAATAAATTAAATAATTTGAAATACTTGCCTTTAAAAAGAAAAGCAAGAAATTCAACATTAATAAAAGGAAGGAGAAGAGGGAGAGAGAGAGCGAGAGGGAGGGACAAAGAAAACAATTGAACAAAGTATTAACAGGTACTTACCACACAAGCTGGTGCAAGAGGAACAAAAGTGAGATTTTTCTTGCTATCTTGAGTTTGTATATTCAAAGTCTGAAAATGTCGACAGTTTCTTACTTCAAAAGTTAATAATACACAAACAAACGAGTTAAAAAAGCTAATCTTTTTTTTTTTTGGATAAATAAAACAAGCTAATCTATAGAGAGTAAAAAAAATAGGGAGATGGAAATATGACAGAAGAAATGATATATAAGAATTTTTGTTGCCACAAAGAAAGTTTTGGGGGAGAATGATCAGCAATTCATGAACTAGAGAAGAATGTACCTGCTTGCACAGATCTTCGAGAAATTCAGAGTACGCAATGGGCTTCATATCATTGAATTTGGCAAGGAATGAATGTTTTATAATATCGATTAACGTTTCACAAAAGAAAACCACAAGCGCATTCTGCAGAGTTCATACACACATGAGCAAGCCATAAAAAGTCCTGTAAAAGTGTTTATGATAAGAAAATATCTGAAAACATAGAGTACCATGATTTTTTATGGTGTACTTACGAGAAGAAAACTTTTGAACCAAGGACCCTCAGCTTCCAAAATATTTTGAGCTAAAACGAATAAGAGAAATGCTGAAATGTGGAATCTCTCTACTGAATCTGAGAGGTAAAATAATTCAATAATTTATATTTGAACCAAAAAAAAAAAAAAGAAACCACAGCAATTAGCAATACAACAAAAAGAAAACGTGGAAACAATATAATAATTCTTTCTAATAATTTTTTTCATGGGTTCATTTGTGCCATGTGCTCAAGTTGGTTCTTACACACTAACTGATACGTTACTTCTTGTTCTTTTTAACTAATATTTCAATCAATTTGACAGCTCAATATTGTCTAAATGAAAAAAGATGTGCGCATTGAAAAGCATGCTCAATCACCGTGGCCAATAAGAAAAAACCCTAAACCATCATGTAGGATAGGTATGAAGAGAAAGTATTGAAATCAAAGAGAGTCCCTGTCGTCTTCCCTGGAGTAAGCAGACATAAAAAGATTCTAGTAACACAACTCCCAAAGGACTCGGAATAAAGACAGTTTGCACCGACAAACAAGGTAGAACACAAGGAAGAATCAAAATAATAGCAGAAAAGCAAGACAAGTCAACAATATAAATATGATGGCAAGGATGGAAAGAGAGTGAGAGGTATTGACAAAGGGAAAGAATGGTGTAAGGAATAAAGTTGAACTAAGAAGCAAAAGAAGAAAACATACACTTTATAGAAAATAAATATCAAGAAAAAAAATTCTTGAAACAAAGATAGCCAAATATGATAACCTTGATGCATATATTATACTAACAGGTTAGAAAATATCAACCATGGTTAATAAAGTGACATGGCCATAGCTTGGATTATGGTCTTATAACTTTCAAAATGAACTTAACAGGAAAATATCTTCAATATTTCCCTTGAATCACGTGAAAATCATTATCTGACAAATATTACAGTGATGGCTTCTTTTGCACTTTAAATTCCGCAAGTACCCAAAATATCATCAGACAGTCACAAATACCATAAAAAGAAATGTGCAAAGAAGCAACTCACCGGAGTATACCAGACGGTGGATGTTATCCTTGCTAAAGCGCTTAAAGACATTACTTTTTATCTCAGCAAAGTTATTAGATACCAACAAAGCAAATAGTGCATTATTATGAGCAACAATGCAAGTTGATAAAGTAATTGCCTGAGCTAATAAAATAAAAGAATGAAGAAGTAATAATAGTCAAGGAACAAATGGAACAAGAATATTTAAGATGAGAGAGAGAGAGAGAGAGAGAGAGAGAGAGAGAGAACAATGCTTGAATATAAGGATATTTGAGAAAGCCATAGCCAATGCTTGGTCAGAAACAAATCTACGAATCCAGAATCTCATTTTTTCCTGAGAGCAATTTGCTAGTCCTTCTGCAGAATTAAAAAGGGTTTCTAACACATCTCCACCAAAACTTTGGCATAATTTATCAAATATCTGTATGTGGACACAAAAAACAGTGTTATACAAAATTTAGCCAGATACTAGCAAAAAGATACAGCTAATGGCAGTTGAACCAACATGGATGCTAGAGGAACACACATGCTATTTCCTTATAGTAGAAACAGATCCTACCACAGAGGTATAAAATAAATGAAACCATAAATGCCACTTAACAGTCATGAATCCAAAAAAAAAAAAAATTCTCTAAAAAACTATCTAATCTTACGTTAGAAGCCCCAGCTCTGGAATCTTTGACAATGATGTACTATTAATTATTTTATTGTGACAAAAATAAAAATATATTCCAAAAAGCGAAGAATTTATGTAAGTGTAAGCAGCTATACAAGCAAACTTCAAATCCATGATTTTAATCCCTTTGATTTGAGATATTCCTCAAATAAAAACTTTGTACCTCTCGCTCTGAAAAAAAAAGTCCCAACTCCCAACTTAAAAAATTTGTTAAATAGAGTGGAGGAATATGCTATTCAAATTACAGGCCATCAACCATAATAAGCAATTGTGTTGACAAATATCAATTAATTATTAAGTTCAATGATCAAAAAGGTAGGAAATAAATTTTTTCATTTTTCAATATATAAATTAAGGATTATTTACTTCTCAACAAGTAGAAACCTGTCGCTGTGTACTCCTTTCCAAGGTTTTCCAAGTATTATTAGCATGTCTCATTGGCCACCTTAGCACTTACCTATCCACTATCAAGTTGGTGTCTCCTAAGGTTAGAAAAACCAATGTGAACTCCAATCATAGACACAACCGAGGTGACACATCGTAATCACTCCAGTAGCACCTTAGAAAATTCTATGAGCACCTAAGAAAGTCTGCTTGATGAAATCCCTTTACAACCTTTTGCATTCATTAGATGGTGAGACTATTAAAAATCTGGAGTGAAACTCCCAAAGGCTTTTGTAAGACCTTAAAAATTTGCCATATGTTTCCACTTTTCTTTTTTTTTTACACTAACTTTTAATCTATAACTGAAAGAGAAAATACACCAGAATTCTAACTAACATGTCCATCAAACTCTGGCCCTAAATCCATGAAGCATCAAAATCTGAGACAGTTCATAGCTTTGTTCACACAAAATATTCAGCCTCTGATCTGTGCCGTTAAATGCATACCAGTAAATCCCCCATAGTAATTTCGAAATATGCAATATTCTCAGGTTCAGCTTTTCATTCTAACCTCCAATATGTTGTAAACCACATAGAGTTTGATTGTTCCTTGACCACGAATCATGTGATATATCAGGCTAATATCTGGGAAGACAGAAACTAAAATTAGAAAAGAAACCTGCCTACGAAATCAGTATTACTTGTTCAACTCTTGATCAATTAGTGGAAGAGCACCAATTATGCCTCAAAGTCTTAACAAGCAGCAAAACACTTGGATATTTGGTAATGATAGTAAATTACAAACATGCATGCAGTGATATGTCCTGTTATACCTGTTCGCTCCAGGAGAATGACTCCACAGGCCAGTACAGCAAAACAGCCAAAATCACACAGCTCTGCTGCAGAAGGCCTCTTGAACTGCCTGCCACAACCATGGTTAGGTTATTTTGCAATCATTACAAGTTGCAATGTGCCAAAAAAGAACTATATAGACAGCTGAAGAGGATAATTTCATATATGGCCTAAAAGGATAAAATGTCAATCAACTAAAAGGAGCATAGGAAAAAATTTGTAAACAAACTTTAAGAATAGTTTCTTTATCAACTTTCTAATTTTTAGGAAATAATATACACTTTGTTTACAAGAACAAAACTATTTCTTTTTATTCTCGTATTTATTTTGAAAAAAAAGTGAAAATATTTGCAAATAGTTTTCACTTTTCCGCCAATTTAAACTTCCACTTTCTAAAACATTATTCTCATTTTAAATTATCAAGCACGGTTTCAAATTTATTTTCTGTCTCCCATTAAAACGAAACAAAAAAAAAAGGAGTGAAACCAAGAAGACACTCTAAAATTTTCAGGACTCCAATTTTAGGGCCAAGTCTGCTACTCAATCTCTAGCAATCACAAGCCAGAATCTAACTCATATCTTCTGAGAGTACAGTGATTGTTTAAACAAAGTGTTTACCTCAAAGAAAAGAATAATCAAGAGGAGATGGGAGTATTAAATATAGGCAAGGATCAGAGTTGTAACCCAGTTAAGAAAAGAAGATGATGATTATGATGATTGTCATCTTCAAGAAAAGCCAGGCATGATGCCAGCCTTATTGAAGCTTCCAAATGAAAGCATGAGTCATAATGCTAACAGAATCATTTTACTAATTCAAAGGACAAGCTTAAAAGAGAAAAATTCGAATTGTTTTGACACAATTTTGTTACAGGCATGGAGAATCCAAATCATTTTAAATGAGTAATGAGATGTTGTAAGATTAATCAACCAACCAAATAACATTCATCTACTTGCATATATTTGTGTGGTACATTTCCATGCAGGTATTCCCAACAATCATACATATCAAGACTATGGTATAAATCATAGAATTATAGCTAACCTTGTAGTCAGGAGCCTCCAAAGCGTAATCAGAATCCTTGTTGGCATGATAGTTAACAAGGACAGAAACGAATCGAAGCAGACAAAGAAGCCGACATCTATGAGCTGAAATAAAGTTGTTGTGCATGAGAATGTTTCAAAAATATAATGTTACCGGAACATAAATCAATTTGATTAAGCAATCCACCAGAGGTAGAATATTAGTTCAGCATTTTAAAGACTAAAGTAGACAGTTCATCTTCGAAGCATAAAATTTAAATCCTAATAAGTTACCAAATGGGGCAAAATGCAAATCCAAGAAACAATTAATAATAAGTGCAAGGAAACTTATTATTAAGAAAGTGATGAGGCACAGGTAGAAATTACCAACAAAATCGATATTATTTTTTTTCTTTCATCCCTATCACAATTCAAAAAGGGAGAGCTAAGGTTACCACTTCACATCTCCACGGCAAGCGAAAGATGGTGTCATACACTCTCTCTCGTCCTTTCTCACTACCAAGTGTTGTGGTGCTCCGCAACGAGTTTCCATTATTCATTTCTTCCAAAAAGTATTTCACTGGTGATTTATCCACTGTATAAAGATCTGACAAAAAAAGAGCCAAAACAAGGATAGATCTTAAACTTGCATTTCCATGAAACATAACTGAAATAAACCAGAGAAAGCAGATTTATACCTTCATACTCAATAGAAATCTCTTTAGCTCAGACTCTACACCGTCAACTATGATCATTTTAATAACTAGTAATACTAACATATGACTAACACTCTACCACCAACCATGATCCATGAACCAAAATAGATTTCCAACAAATTCACAACCCAAAAGAAATTCATAAAAGAATTAAATTATGTAAAAACTCACAATGAGGATCCTCTACCATAAGCCGCTTCCAATCCAACGACTCAGTAGTCTCCAGCTTATTCACTACATTCCCATTCGCCACTGACTGAGGCGGTGCCGGCGGCAACGGCTCCTTCGAACTACTCACCTCCACACCACCCTCGTCCGGCCTCGCTGCCACCGTAGCCATCTCCTCTCCCCCGCCACCTACAACACCACTGACATTCCTCTGCCTCAATTCCCCAAAACCACACACATTCTGGCACACGCTCTCCTCCACCACCACGACGCTCCCGCCAGCAACGTAACTGAGCTCGTTAACGTTTCCATTATCTCTGATCCCGTAATTATCGGAATTCGACTCCACCAAGACGCTGTCACTCCCGCTCCGTTTCACAACCGGATCTTCCAGAATTATCGGGAACTCCGCCGTCGCCTCCTTCTTCTTCCTGTGTTTCCTCTTCTTCCGACTACTGCGGGAGAACTGAGCGACGCCGTTTAGGGATTGAACCGGATCTGAATTCGACCGGTAAAATAAAGATCGCTCCCCTTCTTCAAAAGAGCCACTCTTGCCTAAAATCTCGAAAGACAGCTTTCTACTACCCGACGATCTCAACGCCATCGTTAACCAAACATTTGAGAGAAATCTAAAATAAAAAAAAAAAAAAAACTTATTTTCGTAACAAAATTTCAGAATCAGTTTTTGTTAAGTGGGCTGCTAGTGGGAATCCAATTCAAGATATCGCTTTTCCATTTGGTTTAAACTCAAGGAAATGGGTTTGATGATGTTTCATCTAACGTGCTATTGGCGCGAGTGACGACGTTGGATAACTCAGCTACTTACACGTCATATTTTTATTTTTTTCTTTTTTTTCCATTAAAAATTGGATGATTCGTCATCATTATTGTTGGTTTCTTTAAAATCACAGTGATTAAATCATTTTATTTCGGTTTTTTTATTTGTTTGAAAATTTTTCGTAATCATCGACAGTGATTAGAGGGAAAAAAAAATCTTGTGTTTTTAGAATATCTACCTGATCAAAAGTTGGTCAACACCATTAATTTGTTACTTGTTAAGAGAAGGACTTGTCAAACGTCTCCGATGACGTGCTATTAAGATATTATATTAGAATTGAACATTTGGTCCATTGACAGATTTTGATAATCGTTTTTGGGATATCCAATTGATATTATATTAAATTTAAATTATTTTAATATAATGTATCTTGTTATATTATTAATATATATATATTCATGTAATATACTAACAAAGTATATATGTTTTTAAAATTATAAGTTTTATCGATTTATAAACCAATATATAAAGAAATTTAAAATTAGGATTCTTTTTTACAATTGTGAGTGATTTAAAAAAAGTATAAGTAAATTAATTTTTAAATAATATATATTTTTATTAAAAAAAGAAAAATAAATTATAAAATTAAAATAATAAAATTTGAAACTTTAAGATTAGAAGTTAAGATTTTTTTACCCTTATAAACAAAGTGATTTTAATCTGACTTTTGTGTTAAAAAAATTGCTTGATAGAGAAAATAATCTAAATAGAATTAAAAGTGAAGAATTATATAGAAAAGTGGAATTGTAATCAATTAAAAAAACATAGAAAAATATGTTTGATACTTGATTGAAGACCTTTAATCATACTTGAGAAACTAAAAGGTTAATTTGACTTTTATTAAAATTATATTATTGTGATTTAACCCTTTATAAATTTCTTAGTTTTAAAATTTTGTTAATAAATAAATAATAAATGATTTTAATACATCTTAATTTTAATGAACAAAACTAAATTATAAAATCACATAAAAAATAAAATTAATGATTTTAGTTTGAAGGGATCATTTAATTTTATCACAAAATAAATAATAGAAGAATTTAAAAACGGGGGGGTGTGGCCAAAGCCCCTCAAGTCATTACTATGGTCTGCTTCTAACTTGATTTCTAATTTATATGAGATCATTAAATATAATTTATATTTATTTGATATCATTAAATATGATTTATAGTCATTTACGTAATTTTTTCTCGAGTTTTATATATAATTTTTATCAATTATTAACTATTTCAGTAAAATCACGATATTTTATCGTGTAATTTTATACACACATCTCACTTCTTTTCACACATTTTTTCTTATATTTCATTGATTTGAGAGTCAAAACGTATTTTAAAAAACAACTTCAATGCTGTATCTATGCTTTTTAATTGCAAGTTCAAATCATACTATTTTGAATAACTTCATATCAGTTTCTTCCAACTAACACACCAAAAATAATATCAACTTGTATAATTATCGAAAATTAGTTAGTTTGATAAAAAAATTAATAAAAGACAATAATTTTATTACATAAGGATAAAAATTTTATATACAAATAAATCGTAGGATAAAAACTTATCTTAGTGCAATAAAAATATATATTTTAAGAAAAAAAAAACCAATAATTTTTTTTATCAAGTTAATGTCTTTAAAGGCCGAACTGAAAATACAAAACGTGGGCAATAGTCAAAACACAGCCGAATCGCAAGAGCACCTAGCCAGCCACACATCCAATAATCTGAGTGCTACTACTAAGTTTTAGAGATTGGGTTACCAATGGATTTGTAGTTTGAGGTTTCCGCTACAGCTTCTATGGCTTAGTTAGATCATGACCAAACTTGCAGGTCAGCCTTACTGGCCTAAAATCTTAATAGATTTACTAAACTCAAATCCAAAATCATATAATGTAGCAATGATAATGAAAAAACATAAAATTTTATGAACCCTTAAAAATAAAATACTTAAAAATTTGATTTTATAATTTCTTAAAAAAAAAAACACTATAATCCAAGTTCACTACGCTGGTTTGTAAAATTTTATATTTTTTTAAATTAACGAGGTAATATTATATGATTTATTATGATATACAAACTTTATATATTGATAATATATTATATATAAACTTTTTTAAAAATTCATAATTAATGTTTATTAAAGTTTGCCGATTAATGAGATATCAACATTTGTTGTTCAATCCATTGATAACATATTAAATATAAATCTTTACTTTTATAATTGTGTTTAGGATAACCACAAAGAAAGTTAATATATCTTTTAGTGAAGCATAGTCAAAGAACAAAAAGTTTATCAAGCAAAAGGCTATAAAATCTGTAATAATGCTCAAGAAAATACCTAAAGGCCAAGAGGGACAAGGAAATACATATACAAAGTCATTGGTGCCAACTGCCAAATTTTCTTGTGGCGGCTCTCCTTTGAACACCTTTCCAAATTTAGTGAAAGATTGTATATTCTTTATTTATTTTACCTACATGAGAATCAATTAACTCAATTATTAACGTTTTAAACGTCTTTATCATTTCCTTAACACGAAATTTGACGGCGTTTTTTCATTGAAATGTTGTGAAAAATCTGTTTTTGTGTACCAAAAATCAATATAGTAATGGCATTTTTATGAAACTCTATACTTTAATTTTTTGTTTTGTACATTGGACTGTAATCTGTAAATTATAAACAAAAATTTCCCATCATGGTTTGCCTAAGATTATTACAATCAAAAAGACCTTTTCAGATCCTTCCAATTATCCATGGGATCAACGCATTCCATTTTGTTTCTGTGACGATTCAGCAATTTCAACAACTCTGAAACATTCTCCTTTGTTTTGTCGGGGCAATCAACCTGCAAAAGCAGCAAAAGCTTTTGAAACGCACCCAATTGAAGGGCTTCAAGGAGGACGCCTCCATCTTCCCTTTGCTCATTCTTGCAAAGCTTCCATAAAATGGAGATTGAAAACTCAGTTGCCAAGTTTGACACTCGAAGGATTTTCTTAACCAAAACCGGCATGCTCAAGGCATGTTTGTAGGCCATTTCTCTCCCTTCCTTGCTGTTGCAAATCCCATCTAGAATACCTAAGGCCCTCTCGCACATGCCTCTTTCGGCTTCCACCAGCGTTTCTAGCAACAATGATACTAAGCCTAAATTTACAAGTTTTGCTGCTTGTTTCTCAGTTGTTGAAGATGATGTGATTATCTGGTAAATGACAGTTGAAGAAGCTTTTGTAGCTGTAGGGCAAATTGGGTCCTTAATCAGCTTAAACAATGCTTCAGTTGCACCTTCCATCTCTGATAACTCATCCACTATTCTTTGGTCTGATGATAAAACGAGCTCCCTTAAGGCCAAAACTGCGTTTCTTCTCCTAGATAAATCTCCAGTGCTTAAAAACCATATCAAGCAATGCATAGCTGAAACTGATCCCAAGAAACCCTTGGCCTCTCCATCAAGAGGGAACATTATTGTCAAAGCTGACAATATCTCCTCTAAAACCACAGCATTTTCATCAAAAGATGCCATGGAAAATACATTGAAAGCTTCTGATAAAACGCTACCTGCCCCATTAGTCACAAAGCACCGCTTGTCACGTTCACTCTCATTTGCTAATGACTTGACCCCTACCACCAAAAATCGACACCCTTCTCTATCTCGTTTCTTGCAAGCAACATTAATTTTCGAAAGAATCTCCAAAACCTCCATGGAACTAACAGGACCTCGAGACATAGGGCTTCTCTCAATCCCATAAGACCGGTTCTCAACGCACCGATCTTGTATCTTCTTCCTTATCATGTGATTTGGAATCGGTTCAAGACTCCTCAACGCTTGATTCGTAAGCGGTCGAGTGAAATTCCCTGCCTCAGTACAGTTCTCAATGTTCTGTCGATCGAAAGTAATCCCTGTAGACAACGTGACAGGATCTTTCATCAAGTCTTGCGATATGGGGTACCTGAAATCTCTTGGAATCATCAGCTCCATCTCCCCATTTTCATTCCTCTGCTGCTCTTTCTCCGAAAGCACGGCGGCTCTTTTCCTTCTCCAGGAGGAAATTATCATTGCAAAATATATATTTCTTTTTCTTTTCTGGGTTCAAATTGGTTTTTGCTTTGGTAAATGATTTGGAACAAAATTTGGGTGAGGGATTTCGACATATATGTTGTTATATTAAGACCATGACATGGTTGTTCAACGTTTAATTAAGACCTGAAGAACATTATCAAATTTGAAAAAGCATGAGAATTTAACTACTAAATAATAGAGGGCGTGATCAAGCTTTGAATATTTGACCGTTGAATTCATAATCCAATTTGAAATGGTAAAAGGTTGCAGTCGTGTGAAGATGAATCATGGGTGCAGATTTTAGAATGGATCAAAAACTTTGACGAAACCAAAAAATCAAAGCGCCGTCATGGTACGGTCGGTGGACTGACTGACTCAGGCTGTTGGTCTGGCCATGTGGTGAGGAGCCTCGATTTTTTTTTTTTTTAATGTTTTAAACTTATCTTTTTTGTTAATATTTTATTTGGTTTTTTCATTTTCACATTTGCATGTCCCTAACGCGTTGCAAACGCTGAAGCAATTTTTTATTTGCTGAGAAAATCGGCAACGTCTGAACGTATATGGTGATCAAGGTCCAACTGTTAACGCGTGGCAAAGTGGTGGAAAGATGGCGTTTCCAGAACCACCGGCCATTTGACTCCGGTTACTTTCTTTTATATCTTAATTATAAATTCTTCATTGCATTGTTTCATTGTGTGAAATATGAATCATTGGTAATTTTCTTCATAAAAATCTTTGAATTTTTTGCATATGATATTTGGTAAGCAGGAATTAAGAACCTGATTTTACGGAGAAATGAGACGGAGAGGCTAGCTAGTGCGGGAACGACAAATATTTGATTAACACTGGTGCGGTCACGAAAGAAATTAAGAGCATAAGAAGCAAAATGGACTTTGGCAAACTATTCGTTCCATAATTATTCAAAATTAAATTAACTTATTTTTATTATCTTATTTCTATTAATCGAACTAAATTTTTTAATTTCAAAAATCAATTGATCAAAATTAATTCAATAGATTTGATTAATTTTTTGGTTAACAAAATAATAAAATACATTAAGTTAAAATATATTTTAAATTCTTATTTTTTCATATATGAAATATATTAAAAAAATTATCCAACAAAAATATTTAAATTTCAAAATATTTAATTAAAAAACTCTTATAATTTAAAATGAAATGAATAATTTTATATGTTTTTAATTTTATATATAGATTTTATAATATTTTAATTAAATTTCAATTAATTCAATTTTCAAACCAAGCCAATTTAACCGAAATTTAAAATTTTTAAAAATTATTTTCACTAACAAATCGAAATTAATTTGATAATCGATGAATTAATCAAATTAAATTGAATTGATCGATTAATTTAATTAAAATCAAATTATAAATATCATAACCAAAATTTAATTTTTTTTATAACCTTAAATATAAAAAAACAACAATTGCGGAGAAATTCAACAATTTATTTCACATGCAATTTTTTTTTCTTTTTAGGAAAGAACAAACCAAATATTATCAGAGAAAAAAAAAAGAGCGAGAGAACATGGAATGGTTTCCTAATAAGTTTTGGTCAGCAATCTGAATGGGATGACCCAATTTTTGAAAGAACAATATTAACTTGAAAACCAACAAGTCATCACAATTCCAGGAGAGAGAAAGGGAAATGGTTTATGAAAGTGCTTTAGCAAACAGTGGGAAGAAAAACATGAGATATATATTCTGCCCAAAGGGAAAAAAATGTTAGGGCATTAGCCATGCAATGTGAAACTCTAAAAAGAAAGTGGCCGGCGCCGTGACAAACAAGCGAGGGACACAAAATGTAAATGAAAATATGAATCTTACGCTTTTACTGTTGCAGAAAATAAGCAAGTATGATTATGACTTTTTTTTTTTCTAACATGAACAGTGACTTGAATTTTGAATGATAATAATATTAAAAATAGTGACTCAAATTTCGTATAAAATTTGTTTAAAATTGATAAGATATTATTTGATAAATAAAAAAATTTAAGAGTAAAAAGATTTTTAATAGTTAAATTTATATGTTTATAAATAAATAAATTTTTTATAAAATTAGTTATAAGAAAAAAATAAAAGAATTATAAGATTTTATGAGATAGACATTCATATAATTATTTTTTACAACTAACGAATTTTTTTTCATTCATAAAAATAGATCGATTGAATCAAATCACGTTAAATTATTATCTTTTGTATATTTAATCATATAATTTTATTTTTGTTGATGTAAATATTCAATTGGTACAATAGTACCTTTCTTTTTGACATTTTATTTCAAATTCTCTAATAAATTTTATTGTATAATCTAATATCACATGTATAAAAAAATACATAATAATATAAAAATTAGGTATATATATATTATTTTATACATGATTATAAAATTATTAAACTTCTTTATAATAATTGAGTGTATAAATTTGTCACATCCCTTAAAAATTTTTTGTTTGTGATATATTTATTTAATAAATATATCAAAAAAATTTTATATATTTAATTTATGTAATAAAATTTTTTAATATATAGATTTTGATTTACTTATTTATATAAAAAAAAATCACAAGCTTCCCTTATAAAATTTTATATAAGGTTTTTTCATCTTCTAGAAGGGCACGACAATATGACTGGAGAAGTCCATGTTTTTCTGAACATTATAGAACATTCCAGTTTACTATTATTGAAGATCATGACCAGTCTCATGCCCAGACAAGAGATGGCCGAGAAGACCAGCTATCTAATATTTTTGCAAAGCACGTTTTTAGTAAGACGTTAATGTCACATTGATGGAGCTTTCTTCTCAATGGCAAATGAAATTGGACGGTGTTATTATCCGTAGTATCAAAAGTCAGACTATTTTATAAGCAAAGCGACAGCTACCACAATCCATTATATCTGAAATAATACCTATTGTTAATTCGAGTGATCAAAAAATTTAATTTTTTTTAATTAAGTTTTTGATTTTAAAATTTGTTAATAAAAAAAACAGATGTTAAAAGAATATATTATTATTATAAGGTTTGATTTGATTTAATTTTAAATTAATTAAAATTTTAAATAATTATTGAACATTAAAAAATTAAAAAAAAAAAACCTCCGTATTCCAATTTGGTGTACTTAAAAGAAAAAATAATTGAACGCTCTGATTGTGTGTTGTTTTTCAGCTGATTGATTGTGCTGATTTGATTGGCAAGTGAATCACGTGAGTGAGTCACATCAATTTTGAAATTTTGATACGTTGTGTTGAATTTAGGCTGCACTTCTTTGTTACGTTTACACAGTGAATAGTTAGTGTTAGAATTAAATAAGAGACTGTTGGGCTTTATGATCCTTCTGGGTCTATGGGGAAAACACTTCAAAGTTAAGCCTGTTGATCTAATACAATAATTTTGGTCCATTAACCATCAAAGTTAGGCCTTCTTTTTCTTGATTCTTCTTCGGCCTTGGAAAATGATGCATGGTGTTATTCCAAGTCCAGCAAAGATCTGGGTAGGATTTGTTAGAGTTTAAGTCTGTTTTGCAATAATTATGCATTTTATTTAAATATGATAATTTCGAACACAATACAATAAAATAAAATGATATAAAAAAATAAATATATGTTTTAAAATAACATATTTTATATTTATTTTATCAATACGAATTTTGATACAATACAATTCGTGTCTTATAAGTATTGACATATTTAAATATATGTAAGATACGAAAAATACGTTTAGATAAAATGTGTTATATAGATACACATTTAATACGGACATTACAGGAAAAAACTCTTTTAATTAAATTTTTTCATATGAGTACATATTTAACACATTTAGTACATTTTTTTATATTTATTTTTAATTTAATATACACATATAAATTAATTATTTTAAATATTTAATTATAATACTAATTTAATAATTATTATAAAATTATTTTTATATTAATAATATAAATACAACATATATATTAATACTGGTCCTAAATATCATTATTTTATTTTTTTAATCTTTAGTAGTTTATTATTTTGAATTTGATACTAAAAATTAATATAGTTATATAATATACATTAAATTTTAAATATATATTAAATACATATTAAATGAGTATCAAAGTTTTTTTAAATTCTTTTTAATATGCAAGTATTTTGTTTAGATTATTAATATGACAAGTTTATTAAGTTATAAATGATGAATTGTTTATAATTATTTATTATTTTAATCATGTTTTTGTATATATTTTTATTAGTCATGTTTATTTATATATATCTATATTAGTTATGTTTATTCGTGTATATTAGTAATATTCGTGTTGTATTTAAATAAATTAATTGTATACGTGCTAAATGTATCATGTCACGTGTAATACATATAATAAACAATCATATTCATGCTTAAAATTTAAACACGTTTTTTAATTCATGTTGTATTTGTATTTTAATAATTTGTATCATTGTATGTGTCAAAATAATGAGTTATGATACAGAAACACGAATTGTCATGTCTAATTTTATTGATAAAATGCTGAATTTTTAATTTTAATTAACAAAATTTAATATTTGATAATTCAAATACTAAAAAATCTGTCTTTATTTTAAGATAAATAAAATTTTTTTCGATGGATTATTGAAGGAACCATAGCCTAGAAAGGTTATGCATTCAAACCACTTTGAATCATTATAAAGTAGTTATTATATATATATATATATATATATATATGTAGGTTTTGCTTTCAAAAACTATCCAATGCAAGAAAAAAAGTTTATATTTATATTTATATTTATATTGAATACGATTTTATATAATATTATTTTATATAATATCATATCAAAATTCGAATATAAAAATAATAAAAAATTTATCAAATTGAATCAGAACTTGTAAAAACCTGTCCCGTTACCATCACTAAGCTAACACTGATTATAAACCCAAGCGCTGAGCCGAAAACTGCGGCAAATTAAGGGGGGGATGCCTCCACGTTAGTCCCACATTGAGGGATGCACCCCACGTCTCTGTGTCTGAAGATGGAGATTATTTTAGGCAGCAAATACAGGTCGCATGCATTACAAGTAGACATACAACCACTCTGTGACTGACACGAGGCATGTTTGGAGCAATCAGACATGAAAAACAACATATATTCATCGGACATTCGTGGGTGAGGATGATCTGTTTGACTGTTCCAGGGATTGTCTCAATCTGCTCACAGCATTCCTTCAGCACAAAACCTGTGAAACAGAAGGAATATCTTCCCCA